TGTAACCGAGCACACTTTGAAATGGGAATAAAGAATGGAAACTCAAACGTCCGTCTAAATAAACAATGACGAAAGTATCTCGCCATATTCGATGGGTAGATAGCGAGGTTTGACTTGGGTTGGGTTGGGCTGTGTAGAGCAACGAAATGCACCACAAAAGAAGGTCAAAACTAACGAAACCCATCATTGCGATGTCTTCAACGACAGCGCGAAAATGAAAACAAGTCCAAAAAAGTAGAACTTTGTTTTGTTTAGTTGTTTGTTTTGTTCGCTCGCGTTCGAAATGTAAACACGAATTGCATTTGCTTTGGCAAGATAATAATAACCTTTGACTATGGGAAATGTATCAAGGTAGGTTCAAATATGGTGAAATTATTAACGATGTGTATTGTGATTTTTTTTCTAATTTCCGTTAGGTATTTTGTGCAATGGATCAATGTTGCAATTAAGAAAACAAAAAAACTGACAACTAAAATTAAAACAAAAACAGTTACAGATTTGCCTGTATTCCAAAAAAGATGGGACTTCGAAAAATTAATATTAGAAATATAATAAGACTTAAAAAATATTATTGAAAGATCTACGATCTCTGACTAGACCTTAAAAATATTTTTTAAGAAATCCAAGAGCCCTTTTAGACCTTAAAAATAATTTTTAAGAAGTCCAAGAGTGCTTTTAGACCTTAAACATAATTTTTAAAAAAATCAACGAGCTCTGTTAATATTTAAAAATATTTTTTAAAAAATCAACGAGCCCTGTTAGACCTTAAAAATAATTTTTAAAAAATCCACGACCTCTGTTAGACTTTAAAAAATAATATTTAAAAATTCCATAAGCTCCGTCAGACCTTACAAATAATTTTTAAAAAATCCACGACCTCTCTTAGACCATAAAAAATAATATTTGAAAATTCCATAAGCTCCGTCAGACCTTAAAAAATTTTTTTAAAAAAATCCACCAGCTATGTTAGACCTTAAAAATAATTTTTAAAAAATCTACTAGTACTGTTAGACCTAAAAAATAATTTAAAAAAATCCAAGAGCTCTGTTAGACCTTACAAATAATTAATAATAATCTACGAACCTTATTGAACCTTAAAAATAATTTTAAAAAAATCCACGAGACCTGTGAGGCATAATTTAAAAAAAATCCACGAGCTCAGTTAGACCTTCAAAATAATTTTAAAAAAATCCACGAGACCTGTGAGGCATAATTTAAAAAAAATCCACGAGCTCAGTTAGACCTTCAAAATAATTTTTAAAAAGTCCACGAGCTCTGTTAGATTATAAAAATACTTTTTAAAAAATCCACGAGCCCTGTTAGACCTTAAAAATAATTTTTAAAAAATCTACTAGTACTGTTAGACCTTAAAAATAATTTTAAAAAAATCCAAGAGCTCTGTTAGACCTTACAAAAAATTAATAATAATCTACGAACCTTATTGAACCTAAAAAATAATTTTAAAAAAATCCACGAGACCTGTGAGGCCTAGAAAATAATTTTAAAAAAATCCACGAGACCTGTGAGGCCTAGAAAATAATTTAAAAAATCCACGAGCTCAGTTAGACCTTCAAAATAATTTTTAAAAAGTCCACGAGCTCTGTTAGATTATAAAAATACTTTTTAAAAAATCCACGAGCCCTGTTAGACCTTAAAAATACTTTTTAAAAAATTCACCAGCTCTGTTAGACCTTAAAAATACTTTTTAAAAAATCCACGAGCTCTGTTAAGCCTTAAAAATATTTTTTAAAAAGTTTACGAGCTCTGTTAGATTATAAAAATACTTTTTAAGAAATCCACGAGCCCTGTTAGACCTTAAAAATACTTTTTAAAAATCCACCAGCTCTATTAGACCTTAAAAATACTTTTTAAAAAATCCACGAGCTCTGTTAAGCCTTAAAAATATTTTTCAAAAAAATCCACAAGCTCTGTTAGTCCTTAAAAATATTAAAAAAATGTATCAGCTGTGTTAGACCTTAAAAATAATTTTTAAAAAATCTACGGTCTCTGCTAGGCCTTAAAAAAAATTTTAAAAAATCCACGAGCTCTGTTAGACTTTAAAAATATTATATTAAAAATCCACTAGTACTGTTAGAATTTAAAAATGTTATTTAAAAAAATCTCGAGCTCTGTTAAGCCTTAAAAAATATATTTTTTTAAATTTACGAGATCTGTTAGATCTAAACATATTTTTTAAAAAACTTCACGAGCTCTGTTAGACCTTTAAAAAATAAGAAAATCCACGAACTCTGTTAGAGCTTAAAAATAATTTTTGAAAAACTCCACGAGCTATGTTAGACCTTAAATAAAACTTTTAAAAAATTCACGAGCTCTCTTAGACCTTAGAAAAATAAAAAAATAATAATAATTTAAGAAATCCATAATTTAGCTCCGAAAAATATTTACAACTAAAACTATGATTGACAGTTCAATGAAGTTCCTCCACAAAAATCCCACCTTGCATGTTCATAATTAGTAAACTAACCACCTGCCTCCTCCCCCGTTCTATTCTGATTATACAATTATATAGGTCATAAATTATGCTAATATTAATAATAAAGCCGCATAGGAATTGATTATGAAGGACCACTTTAACTTGACATACCCCACCAATTTATTGTTGAAACTCCACAGAAAGTTCATTGGAATGCCAACAATGACTGCTGAAATATTTTCTAATATTTTTCTTTTTTGCCTTGAAATACCAATGGTTGAAGTTCTTTGTGAGTAGTTCATATATTTTTTTTTTTTTTTGTTACAATGTTGTTTGGAATGGTTGTTAGGCAACCTGTTTGGCCAATTTTTAGAATCATTTTCAGTTGCAGGATAATGTGATGTAAAGGTAAAGAAACTTTGTTGTTGAACTGCCTCAAGTATTTTTTTATTGTTTGCAGAGGCGTGGTTTGGTTGGAAAATGACTTAATTGGAATTCGATGCAGATGTTTTAGTGTTGGGGAATTCGGAAAGATATTTAATATCAAAAACCTTTTAAACATTTTGGGGGTTTAATAGTCACTTAGAAATATTTAAAAATATTCAAGTGCTCTGAAAAATACAAAAATCCACGATCTCTGTTAAACCTTAAAAATAATTTTTAAAAAATTCACAAGCTCTGTTGGACCTTTAAAATAATTTAAAAAAAAATCCACGAACTCTGTTAGACCTATAAAATAATTTTTAAAAATCCACGAGCTCTGTTAGACCACAAAAATATAAAAAAACACAAGCTCTGTTAAATCGTAAAAATTAAAAAAAAAAACAAGCGAGCTCTGTTAGACCTTAAAATATTTTTTTAAATATCTACGAGAACTTTTACTCCTTAAAAATGAATTTTAAAATATCTACGAACACTTTTAGACCTTAAAAATAATTTTTAGAAAATCCACGAGCTTAACAAATAATTTTTAGAAGATCCACGAGCTTAAAAAATAATTTTTAGAAAATCCACGAGCCTTAAAAATATTTTTTAGAAAATCCACGAGCCTTAAAAATAATTTTTAGAAAATCCACGAGCTTAACAAATAATTTTTAGAAAATCCACGAGCTTAACAACTAATTTTTAGAAAATCCACGAGCTTAAAAAATAATTTTTAGAAAATCCACGAGCTTAAAAAATAATTTTTAGAAAATCCACGAGCTTAAAAAATAATTTTTAGAAAATCCACGAGCCTTAAAAATATTTTTTAGAAAATCCACGAGCCTTAAAAATAATTTTTAGAAAATCCACGAGCCTTAAAAATAATTTTTAGAAAATCTACGAGTCTTAAAAATAATTTTTAGAAAATCCACGAGCCTTAAAAATAAATTTTAGAAAATCTACGAGTCTTAAAAATAATTTTTAAAAGTAATTTTTAGAAAATTCACGAGCTTAACAAATAATTTTTAGAAAATCCACGAGCTTAAAAAATAATTTTTAGAAAATCCACGAGCTTAAAAAATAATTTTTAGAAAATCCACGAGCTTAAAAAATAATTTTTAGAAAATCCACGAGCTTAAAAAATAATTTTTAGAAAATCCACGAGCCTTAAAAATATTTTTTAGAAAATCCACGAGCCTTAAAAATAATTTTTAGAAAATCCACGAGCCTTAAAAATAATTTTTAGAAAATCTACGAGTCTTAAAAATAATTTTTAAAAGTAATTTTTAGAAAATTCACGAGCCTTAAAAATAATTTTTAGAAAATCCACGAGTCTTAAAAATAATTTTTAGAAAATCCACGAGTCTTAAAAATAATTTTTAGAAAATCCACGAGCCTTAAAAATAATTTTTAGAAAATCCACGAGTCTTAAAAATAATTTTTAAAAATAATTTTTAGAAAATCCACGAGCCTTAAAAATAATTTTTAGAAAATCCACGAGCACTGGTAGACTTTAAAAATAATTTTAGAAAATCCACGAGCTCTGTTTGACCTTAAAAATAATTTTTAAAATATCTACGAGCACTTTTATACCTTAACAACATTTTTTAAAATATCCACGAGTACTTTTAGACCTTAAAAATAAATTTAGAAAAAATCCATAAGCTCTGGTAGACCTCGAAAAGAAATTAAAAAAAATTCACGAGCTCTGTTAGAGGTTACAAGTATTTTTTAAAAAGTCCACAGCTATGTTAGAACTTAAAATAATGTTTAAATAATCCAGGAGCTCGCTTATACCTTAAAAATAATTGTTAAAAAATCCACAAGCTCTTTTAAGAAATCCGCGAGCTTTGTTAGACCTTATTTTTAGAAATTTCACAAGCTCTGTTACACCCTAAAAATACTTTTTTAAGAAACCCTTGAGCTCTGTTAGACCTTACACATATTTTTTTAAGAAACCCACGAGCTCTGTTAGGCCTTACACATATTTTTTAAGAAACCCTTGAGCTCTGTTATACCTTACACATATTTTTTAAAAAATCCACGAGCTCTTTCAGACTTTAAAAATATTTTTTTCTAATTTCCGAACTCAGTTAAATTTTCTCAAAAACTAATTAAAAATATTTTTTTCTTTTATTTACAGTTCCTGAAGAGCATCAAGTGACTGTTGCACTTCTGTAGGATATACAAGCTATGGTAGCCGGTTTCGAACAACGACCCTGGACACCTACCGTACGCCGTGGACAAATTGCTGCTGAGACATCAACTCCAGGACCAGCAGCGGTTGCATTACCCAATTTAATTGGTAAGAATAAATTCTACACAGAATCCTCCCAAGGCCCTTGAAAATTTCTCAGAGGATGTTAACAAATGTTTATTCATTCCCTCCCTTAAGGTACCAAAGTACTGGACTCGCGAAAACACGCCGCTCCAGCATTTACCTTTGGTCAGAAGCATCGACCAACCGTACAATCGTTGGGCGAAGGACCAGCCAAGTACAACATCACCGGCTTGGGCAACAAGGGCAAAGATACACCTCCTGCTGCTACCCTTCAAAGTCGCCACAAAGAGATGTCGAAATTTTGCACCCCAGCCCCCGGAGAATATGATGTCGACAAGGCCATTAAGGCGGTGAAACAGTCAACGGCCAAATATACTTTTGGTCAAAAATTGGCTGTAGAAAAACAGAATTCGACACCAGGTAAGTCAGGGGAGAAAAAATTGGTTGAGGTATGATCATATTTGGGGAAGGTTTTTTTGTCTTGCATTGACAATGTTATGGAATGAATGAATGTTCGTATATGGGTGTTGGTGGCTGGCAAATGGAGCTTTTCATTCATAGATCCACGAAATCATTTGTAAAATATATACATTTCATACCCCACGTCCAACCCCCTCCATGAATGGCAATGTTGCATTACAATTTTCTTGTGGATGGCACTTTGTTACTGGCAGCTAAAGCTTGGCAGCATTACGAGTTCATTTACTCAAAATAAAAAAGAATGAGAGAGAGCGAATTCATAAATGTAAAAAATTAACCCATTGGTGTCCTGAAGGAAAAAATATCAATGTGTGGTAAAAATATGGCCCCTAACCACTAATGGGTTAATTCTCAATCTCATTTATAAATCCCATTTCATTACCATTTTTTCGAATCTCCCCCCATCAAATCACTTTTGAAGAGGTAACTATATTGTTTCCCAAATATCTTTGGTAAATATTCTTCCGTATCGAGTAGTTCGTTACTTTTTGTAGAAATTGTAGGTTAGTGTAAATTAAGTAGTTGTACTCTTTTTTCCCTTACCACCTTCCACGGCACATGGTGGCAACACTGGTATTTCAATATTTTATAATCATTTTTTTTTTTAATTATGAAAATACCAAATATTAATAATCGTATTGTTTTTTTATTTTCTCAATCCCTCCTCCCCACCGTCGTCGTTTTTGCTTCTATGCCTAACCCAAAATGGCTCTTGTTGAACGATTTTCAAATTAGGTCCAAACCATTATCGAGTTGTACCACTCGATGTTATCAAACCCCGTGCCCCCCAATATACATTTCGAATAAAATTGAAAGTAATTTTAATAAATACACCAGGTAACAAAAAAATCAGTTTTTTTTCTTTTTCTTTCTAAGTTATTGTCCTTCATTTTTGTGTATGTGTGTTTCAATGTTGTTGTTATAGTTTTATGTCTTTTTGTAGCAAATCATTGTGGTTTAGATCCCAGTATATAAAACCGATATATATGTCCTATAAGTGTATATTTTATAATGTATATAATATCGAAATACTCCTTTTCTGTTTGCACCGGGGAATAGTCTTCTGCAAGTCTATAAATATCTCCAAATAGGTGAAGGTGCTATGCATACTTTCTAGGCTACAAATATGTTTTGTATATACATTTTTCTATACATATAGCGTAAAATGTTATCCAGTTTTTGACAATATATTCTTATAAAAAAGTCTTTTATAAATTCACCATTACAGCTCTGTATGTCCGTAAAGAAATCGGTAGATCCTGGAAAAAATTATAAAATTATTATGGTCTGTTAAACCTGGTAGAATTGATCCACAGTATCCACTATTTTAACTCTATAAACCCTTTGAAAAATAAACTCAACAATTCAAAAGTTGGTCCTACGTAGGTGTAGCTCTGAGAGTCTTATGGATTATATTAAACGTCTGATGGACCCATGTTTTTATTTTAACTCGGTGGTCCCTGAATAAATTCTCTCAAGGTATTTTAAAAATCCCCACGATTATGTCGCGAGTAGCTTCAAAGCTTTGATGCCCTGACAAATTTAATGGTATTCAGAAATTAATCTTAAAATTTAACGGGTCCTCTCAAGGTCCCTAAAAAATCTTATAGAATCTACAAAATCCACCCTTCTCTCGTTCAATCTATACCTTGATGGTATATAATCTGATTATCCTCCAATAAGATTCATTAAAAAAACTAAATTGTTCCCTTAATTGTACTCAGAAGGATTTTTAAAAATAAAGATTTTGCAATTAGAGTATCCTTAAAAAATGCTATAACCTAAATGTCTGTGAAAAAATCGTATAAAATTAAAGATTTTCAAAGTCGTTTACTTTAAATCATTCTTTAAAAAAATAATAATAATAAAATCTTAATAATCCATATTCATATCTCTAAAAATCTTTGAAAAATATTGTCCAATAATCCAAGATTACGTGTCAGAGGACTATGGAAAATTATTTCTGAGTAACCTGGAAAATATTCATTTAAAAATCTCTCTAGAATATCCTAGAATATATTTTAAGAATATCCATAAATCAGGATCATGCTCTGAGGATCCTCCCTGAGAAGTTTTGAAAAATATTCAATAAACAACCATTACATCTCTAAGAACCCTTGAAAATATTTTCAAATATAATACAACGATTAAGCACTGACCCCCCTTTGAAAACCTCTGAATACTCTCGAAATTTTTTCCTAAAAAATCCATGTTTATGTCTCTCGCACATAATTAAAGATTCCTATAGTCTGATTGTCTTTTAATAATATTATTTAAAGAATGTTTAATTATAGATTTGACTGATTTCAAAAAATGCTTAAAAATAAAGATTTCTGTAGTTTCAAAAAACCTCAAAAAGATTAAAATTACTATAACCTGATTGTTTAAAATTAAAGATTTCTAAGTCTGAAATATTCCTTAAAAATTCATGATCATGTCTCTATCTTTGAAAAAATATTAGCAAATAATCTAAGATTACGTGCCTGAGGCCTATGGAAAATTATTTCATAAAGCCTCACGAGTCCCTGAAAATATTCCTTTCCTAATGATCTATAAAGCAGGATCATGTTCTGTGGATCCTTGAGAGCCCTAAGAATCCTTGAGAAATATTCAAAAAAAAAAAACAAGATAACATCTATATGAACTCTCAAAAAATATTTTCAAATATAGCACCACGATTAAGCTCTGACTTGTTTTAAAAGGACACAATTTAGCTCTGAGGAACCTTGAAAAATATTCCTTTAAAAAAATCATGATTTCCTCCTTGAAAAATATTCATGAAAAATTGAAGATAATATTTTTGGAGATCCAAAAATAAGTTCTGAGGGCCCTGCAAGAAAACTAAGGACCCTTGAATATTTTTCAGATTATCTGATTATCTCTTGTAAAGTATTACTTAAAAAAATTATCCCTGATAAAATCTGATGAAACTAGAAAGGAATGAAGATAAGATGTGAGGACACTTAAAATGCAAGTTCAAAACTTTGTGGACCCTTGAAAATATCCTTCTTTAAAAATTCACAGTTAAAAGTTCGAAAATTCTACAAATGTTTTAAATCCCTTATTAAAGCTCTAAAGTAAAAACAAGTAATAAAGCTGCTAATACCCTCCACCATTTCGAAGGAAATTGAAAAATTTCAAAAAAAAAATCTAAAAACCACATAAATGAACACTGTTATATGGGGAATACGAAGACGTAACCTGCATACGAAATTTGTTGTCATAGGCTGTAGTGCCCATTACGAACTTGAAATACGAAATTTGTTACAATTACGGTGAATAATGTCGTAAAAATCATGAAAATACGGAGTATCGGGAGGTATCGTCAAATGGGGATATACGAAAACGTAACCTGCATACGATTTTTTTTTTTGCCATAAGTTGTAGTACCCATTAAGATCCTCCAATACGAAATTTGAAACGATTCCGGTAAATAATGTTTTAAAAATCATCAAAATACCGAATATCGGAAGATACCGTTATATGGGGGCTATACGAAGTCGTGGACCTGCAGACGAAATTTTTTGCCATGGGTTGTAGTACGCATTAAGATCTTCCAATATGAAATTTGAAACGATTCCGGTGGATAATGTTGCTGAAATCATCAAAATACCGAAAATCGGGAGGTACCGTTATGTGGGGGCTAAACGAGAACGTGAAACGACATAGCCCATTTACGAACTTAACCTGCCTACTGGTAAACTATGAATGTATGCTAAATTTTAGCCTTCTATCTCAATTCGTTCGAAAGATAGCGTGATTGCAACAGACAGACAGAAAGACGGACGGACGGACATCGCTAGATCGTCTTAGAATTTTACGCTGATCCAGAATATATATACTTTGTAGGGTCTATTATGAATATTTCGAGAAGTTACAAACGGAATGGCAAAGCTTATATAGCCTCCATAGAATGGTGGAGGGTATAAAAACCCTCAATCAATTCCACGATAAAAGCCCTAAATTGCTAGGAAAAATATTGTTTAAAAATCCTGTAAAAATGAAAAGAATAAAAATCTTCGATTTAAACTCACAATTTCCAATTAAGAAATATTCTTTAAAATTCGATTGCAATTCTTTAAAAACAAAAAAAAAAATTAAAAATCTCAAAAAAAAAATAATTGATTAATTCTTAAAATATTTATGAAAATCAATGATTAAATCTCTGAAGAGAATATTGTTTTGAAAATTTAAGACCAAATCTCAGAAGATTCGTAATAAGATTTTCTTTATAAATTCACAATTAAAACCATGATGATTCTTAAAAAATGTTCTTTTGAAAATGCCCAATTACACGCTGTTTATTCATAAAAAATGTATTAAAAATATGGGATTAAAACTCTCAAATGTAAACCTGCGATTATAGCTCTTGTGGTTCTTCAGAGAATATTCGTTAAAAAGTCTCGATAGAAACTCTATAGGTTCTCAAAAAATTTTGAGAAATATACAATTAGAGAGCCAATGATTCTTTTCAAAATATTTATTAAAATTATAGCATTAAAAATATCCCAAAAAAAAAAAAAAAACCGATATAAGTTCAACTTTTTTAAATCGAAGATTTTAGCTCAGACTATCATTTGAAAAATATATTCTTTACTATGCAAAAAATATAAACAAAATCAGGTGATTATATTTTAAGAATATTCTCATATTGTAAAACTACATTGCATACTTTTAGGTGCATTGATAGCTATTGAGGAAGTGGTCAATATTTATCGAAACATATTATCCAATTTACATATTTTTTTATTCAATATCCATTAAGGCCTTCACATCATCTCCAAAATATAAACATATTATCACCCTACCACAATGCAAAGTAAAGCACCCTGCACTTTGTGCTTTAAAATGGTAAAGGCAAACATAGCTTTCATTCCACTTGAATCATTTTATTCAGCTTTTGCACCATTATATTAGTAAATGTTCTTAATAATATTCAAAATTTGATTTTTTTTTTTGTGTTAATATGTTTTTTTCGAATAATTAATTTGATTTTTTAAAAAATCGAAATTTTAAATTTTTATTCCAAAACCAAAACAAATTGTATGTGCCTACTTTACCACACACACTAACCAAAAACTGATATGAAATGAAAAATTCACAGCGCCAAATAGATATCGACCCGAGAGGGTGTCTTTGGTGAAAAAGAATTCACCGCGTTACTCATTTGGTAGACGTACTAAAATTTACTTCGATAAGGGAACTCCAGGTAAAGCATAAATTAATAAATTTATTTTTTATTTTAGATTAATCCATTTTTGTTGTGTGATTTTGAGTTTTTTTAATTGAGCTTTTGTAGATTTGTGTTTAAAACAAAATTTTAAAGGAAGCTTTATTTATATTTAAAATTTTAATTTATTTTTTATTTGCTGTTTTTTTTTTTAATTTAGCTCCGGGATCATATAGCCCCGAAAAGGCCAATTTACACTCTACACCAGCTTATACAATTACCGGCAAGGCCACTCACGATGTAGTTGATTGTACACCGGGTAAGTTGACCCAAGAGAAACTTGCACTGCATTAGTATTTAAGCCTTATCAGTTTCTCATTCTTAACCATTAATCAATCATCAATCCCCCCACATTTTTCTAGCCCCTGGTGCTTATGAACCGGAAAAATGTAAATTGGATAAAACTCCAGCCTTTAGCATCTCAGGTCGCCATAGCATACGTAAAACCAATGACACACCTGCGCCTGGAGCATATGCACCAGAAAAAGTTCGCCTAGATCATACACCTGCTTACACATTTGCCGGCAAGCATGAAACGAAAATTGTTAGCGACACACCTGCACCGGGAGCCTATTGTCCGGAGAAGGTGAGGCTAGATCACACCCCGGCGTATAGCATCAAGGGACGTCATGAAGTGCAAAAGGCAAGTGATACCCCGGCGCCTGGTGATTATGCACCGGAAAAAGTGCGTTTAGATCATACCCCAGCCTATAGCATTAGCGGTCGCAAGGAAGCCAAAATAGTTAGCGACACTCCAGCCCCGGGGGCATATTGTCCGGAGAAGGTGAGGCTAGATCACACCCCCGCCTATACCATCAAGGGTCGCCATGATTTAAGCAAGCCCAGTGATACCCCGGCCCCCGGAGATTATGCACCGGAAAAGGTGCGTTTGGATCACACACCTGCCTATACCATAAGTGGTCGCAAAGAAGCCAAGATTGTCAGCGATACCCCGGCTCCGGGAGCATATTGCCCAGAAAAGGTGCGCTTGGATCACACACCCGCCTATACCATAAAGGGACGCCATGATGTGAGTAAGCCCAGTGATACCCCAGCTCCAGGCGATTATGCACCGGAAAGAGTGCGTTTAGATCATACCCCAGCGTATACCATAAGCGGACGCCAGCAAGCTAAAATCACCAATGACACTCCGGCGCCAGGAGCATATGCTCCCGAAAAGGTGCGCTTAGACCACACCCCAGCTTATACCATGGCGGGAAAGCATGATCCTAAAGTAGCTAATGATACTCCAGCTCCTGGAGCTTATGCTCCAGAAAAATGCCGTTTAGATAAAACACCTGCCTACACGATAAGCGGACGCCATGATTTGCAGAAGCCCAGCGATACTCCGGCACCAGGTGATTATGCCCCGGAGAAACATAATTTGGATGGTACTCCAGCCTATAGCATGGCAGGACGTCATAATTTACAGAAGCCCAGTGATACTCCGGCGCCTGGAGCTTATGCTCCAGAAAAAGTGCGCTTAGATCATACGCCAGCCTATACCATGGCGGGAAAACATGATCCTAAAGTAACGAATGATACCCCTGCTCCTGGTGCTTATGCTCCGGAAAAAAGTAAATTGGATAAATCTCCAGCCTACACTATGGGAGGACGCCATGATTTGCAGAAGCCCAGTGATACTCCGGCGCCAGGTGATTATGCTCCCGAGAAACATAAGTTAGATGGCACCCCAGCCTACACCATGGGCGGACGTCATAATCTTCAGAAGCCTAGTGATACTCCAGCGCCTGGTGCTTATGCACCAGAAAAACATAATTTGGATGGTACGCCAGCCTACACCATGGGTGGACGTCATAATCTGGAAAAACCCAGTGATACTCCTGCACCTGGAGCTTATGCTCCAGAAAAGTCCAAGTTGGACAAAACACCGGCCTACACCATGGCTGGGCGCCATGACTTGCAGAAGCCCAGTGATACACCGGCGCCTGGAGCTTATGCCCCAGAAAAACACAATTTGGATGGTACACCAGCCTACACCATGGGGGGACGCCATAATCTGCAAAAACCCAGTGATACTCCAGCACCTGGTGATTATGCTCCCGAGAAACACAAGTTGGATGGTACCCCTGCCTATACCATGGGAGGACGCCATAATCTTCAGAAGCCTAGTGATACTCCAGCGCCTGGAGCTTATGCTCCAGAAAAACACAATTTGGATGGTACCCCAGCCTATACCATGGGAGGCCGCCACAATCTACAAAAACCTAGTGATACTCCAGCGCCTGGAGCTTATGCACCAGAGAAAGTTCGCTTAGATCATACGCCAGCATATACAATGGCTGGTAAGCATGATCCAAAAATCTCAAATGATACTCCAGCCCCTGGAGCTTATGCACCAGAAAAATCCAAGTTGGATAAAACACCAGCCTACACCATGGCTGGACGTCACAACCCACAAAAGCCCAGCGATACTCCAGCACCAGGTGATTATGCTCCTGAGAAACACAACTTAGATGGTACTCCAGCCTATACCATGGCGGGACGCCATAATCTGCAAAAACCCAGTGATACTCCGGCGCCCGGAGCTTATGCACCAGAGAAAGTTCGCTTAGATCACACTCCAGCCTATACCATGGCTGGTAAGCATGATCCCAAAGTAGCTAATGATACCCCAGCCCCTGGAGCTTATGCACCAGAAAAATCCAAATTGGACAAAACACCAGCCTACACCATAGCTGGGCGTCACAATCCACATAAACCCGCTGATACTCCTGCTCCCGGTGACTATGCCCCCGAAAAACATCGTCTAGACGGAACTCCAGCCTACACCATAGCTGGACGACATAATCCACATAAACCCGCTGATACCCCAGCTCCCGGTGACTATGCCCCCGAAAAACATCGTTTGGATCACACCCCCGCCTACACCATGGCCGGTAAGCATGATCCCAAGATTTCTAACAATACTCCAGCTCCTGGTGATTATTGCCCTGAAAAGGTGCGCCTGGATCATACCCCCGCCTACACATTTGCTGGCAAGCATCAGCCTAAAGTTTTAAGCGAGACCCCAGCTCCCGGTGCCTATAGTCCGGAAAAGGTACGTTTAGATCACACTCCAGCTTACACCATTACCGGCCGCCATGAAGCGCACAAACCTAGCGATACCCCCGCTCCCGGAGATTATGCACCAGAAAAGACACGCTTAGATCACACCCCAGCCTTCACCATTGTGGGCCGTAAAGAAGTGAAAATCACCAGTGATTCACCGGCTCCCGGAGCCTACTCCCCCGAAAAGGTACGTTTAGATCATACCCCTGCCTACACCATCAAGGGACGACATGAGGTGCAAAAACCCCAAGATACCCCGGCACCCGGTGATTATGCACCCGAAAAGGTACGTCTTGACCATACGCCAGCCTTTACAATTGTTGGCCGAAAAGAGGTGAAAATCATTAGCGATAGCCCAGCACCCGGTAGCTACTGTCCGGAGAAAGTACGTCTCGATCACACACCAGCCTACACCATAACCGGTCGTAATGTAACCCATCATCTGGACACTACTCCAGCGCCGGGTGATTACAAGCCAGAAATGTATGATCCTAAGGGCCATACGCCAGCCTTCACATTTGGCCTGAAATTGAAGCAGGAACGTGTCAGTGATACACCAGGTAAGTTGGATGGAAGAGTTGACGCTCCCTTAAGCATGAAGCACGCACTTCTTTTGTAAATATTCACCTTCAATTATTTTGAATCTAGCACCCACTGCCTATGAACCTGAAAAACACACCCTCGATCACACACCTGCCTTCACGTTTGGCAGTAAGACCGAAACTAAAACGGTTGTCGATGCACCAGGTAGGAACTATTTTGTATTGGAAAGGTGTACAAGGTCCTCTGGAAAAAAAAGTCCGTTCTCACTGAGTTGAGGAATTTTTTCCCTGATCAGATTTTTTTATACAAAAAATCCTCAGAGATATGAGAAGAGAACCGAGGACAAATTTTTTTCTGTAGGAAAAATCCTCAGGGAACTGAGGACAGATTTTTTTCTGTAGAAAAAATCCTCAGGGAACTGAGGACAGATTTTTTTCTATAGAAAAAAAATCGTCAGAGAAATGAGGACAGATTTTTTTCTATAAAAAAATTTTTCAGAGAACTGAGGAGGGACTTTTTCTATAGAAAATAATAATATAATATTTTTTCTATAGAAAAAATTCTCAGAGAACTGAGGAGAGATTTTTTCTATAGAAAAATTCTCAGAGAACTGAGGAGAGATTTTTTCTATAGAAAAATTCTCAGAGAACTGAGGAGAGATTTTTTTTATAGAAAAAATTCTCAGAGAGCTGAGGAGAGATTTTTTCTATAGAAAAAAAATCCTCAGAGAACTGAGCACAGATTTTTTCCTATAGAAAAAAAAATCCTCAGAGAACTGAGGACAGATTTTTTCCTATAGAAATAAAATCCTCAGAGAACTGAGGACAGATTTTTTCCTATAGAAAAAAATCCTCAGAGAACTGAGGACAGATTTTTTCCTATAGAAAAAAAAATCCTCAGAGAACTGAGGACAGATTTTTTCCTATAGAAAAAAAAATCCTCAGAGAACTGAGGACAGATTTTTTCCTATAGAAAAAAAATCCTCAGAGAACTGAGGACAGATTTTTTCCTATAGAAAAAAAAATCCTCAGAGAACTTAGGAGGGATTTTCTATAGAAAAAATACTCAGAATCCTGAGGAGAGATTTTCTATAGAAAAAATCCTCAGAGAACTAAGGACAGATTTTTTTCTATAGAAGAAATCCTCAGAGACCTGGGAAAGATTTTTTTCTATAGAAAAAATCCTCAGATAACTGAGGAGAGATTTTTTTCTATAGAAAAAATCCTCAGATAACTGAGGAGAGATTTTTTTCTATAGAAAAAAATCATCAGAGAACTGAGGAGAGATTTTTTCCTTAGAAAAAAACCTCAGGGAACTGAGGAAAGATTTTTTCTATAGAAAAAAAATCCTCAGAGAACTGAGCACAGATTTTTTTCTATAAAAAAAAATCCTCAGAGAACTGAGCACAGATTTTTTCTCTGAGGATTTTTCCTTTTTTCTATAAAAACGAATCTATCTCAGTGAGCTCTCCTCAGTGTTATTTCATAAAGAGAAAATATGTTCCTTTTCAGGACTATTTTTTATGTTTAGATAAGATATTCCCTAAGCACCTATCCTTTTTCCTTTGAATTGTTGCATGTTCTATTTGCCTTTGCCTTGAGTTCTCTTTAATTCTCTTCAATTCTCTTTGTATTAACAATACTTTCTTTTTCGCACGTGCATAGCTCCCGGTCATTATCATCCAGAAAACTATAAACCCGAACACTCGCCTGCATATACTTTTGGTCACAAAACTTCGGTGATGCCAGGTAAGGTAGCCCCAAAAACAACAACAGGACAACTACAAATCACAACAAAATCATTCACAAAAACATACACAACAAAGTGCTATGCATGTCAAAAAAAACGGTCGTTGGAGACCTGTCTTTCTTTCATTTTTCATCATTTCTCTTCTTCCATTCTAATTTTGTAAATATGTTTTTTATTTTATTTTCTTATTATATGATTTTTTTCTTTTTATTTCATTTTTACATCATAATTTGTGTACATATGTATGTGTGTGTGTCTGTGATTTTCATTGTGAATATATGTGTTTTTGTTAAAAAAAAATATATATAAACATCAATCACATGAAAATTATGCAGTTATGCCACGTGGACCTTATGTTGAAGATCGTATCATCCAGAGACGTGAAAGACGTATGAAAAGTCCTGGTAAGATTTAGCTAGGCAATTGAAAACCTTACCAAAAAAACCATTTACAGCGATAACAAAAAATACCTTCGCTTGTTAGCCAAAATATTGATAATGATCCACTAACAATTTCTCGCTTAAGACAATTTCAACTAAATTAGATTTAATTTCGAATAACTTGTGGAAGAAGGTTACTAAATATATTTGTGTGTCTAGTATGATTTTGAAAATTTTTTCCTAATTTTGAATTTATGAGATAACCTAATGGGGTAGATGGCTTGGAATGTATTTCTAGTCCTTCATTCACAATTTTAATACTTTAGTGGGATATATGGGTGATAAGATTGGATTTTTGGGATTTTCGTACTAAAAAGTACAACAAAATTTGATCTAATACGATAAAGCACATTATCTGGTGCTTTTGAAAAACAAAATTAATAAAAAATACTAAATCCCGTGTTTTGGTTCCAAATCTTGAAATTTTGCACTGAGTTAACCATAGGTGAGTGGCGTCGGTTAGAGTATAATTTTTGCAAATTCGCACTAAAAAAGTCATAAATACTGTACTTATAAGATTAGAATTTTGAAGAAGGTACCAAAAGGAATGGTCCGATAAAATCCATATTTGCATCAGATTCCTGGCTTGAGAGATATATTTAGATATACAGGGTTGCCCATATTCGACGGACCTTTGGGCCCTTTGGGCCCATTCCAATCGACGAGGCTTGTCCGCAGGCAACATTCTTTGCGTCAATTGAATTTTGTACGGGAACAAATACAACTCAATGCGAGTAATCCATTGTAAAGTGGACCGAACCATGCCCAACTGCTGAGAACGGCGTTTTTGGGATGTTCTTGGGGACTTCTCAACACTGGCTCGTACGGCAGCGATATTCTCGGCCGATCGCCTTGGTCGACTTTTATATGGCCTCTTCGGATTAGAAAGAGCCTTACCAGTCGAACATTTTTCGTATAAACGCTTAATGGTGTTCTTAGAAGGCGCACTTCTCACATTTTTTTCAGAATTGACTTCTTCCGTTGAATGTAAATTTCAACTATTTCAGAGCGCTCGCGTGGCGTGTATTGGTTCATGGTAAAAATCTGCTTGGACTGACGCTTTAAACGGGGTATGTCATTAAGCGATGTGACATCTCTGTCAAAAGTTATGGCGTTGCCAGATGGGTCCGTCGAATATGGGCAACCCTGTACCAAGTTGTAAAGAATAGCTGACTTGTTTTGCAAGTTATGACAGATATAAGAATTGAAAATTGTGATCTTTTGTGGGTAAGATACCAGAAGGTGTGAACAGATATCTATATTAGCATTAATGTTGAGATGCGTGACATTCGACAGAAAGTGGATGCTTATTTCGCGTTTTATTTATAGCAAAGCATTCAAAATCTATTTACCCTTTGTGAGGAAGGTACCAGACGGAGTGGTCCGATATATCCCATTCTCACAGTAAATTTTGTCTTATTAAAAATAAACGGGATGTGTGAAATTAATTTGCAGTTTATAATCGTTTTACTTCGACAATTTTTTGCCTTTGTAGGGAAGATACCACTAGGAGTGGTCCTATATCTTCCATATTCACGACAGATCTTGTGTTAATAAAAATATTCGGATGTGCCAAATTTGAAGAGAATCATGTGCTTAATTCTTATTTTATTGGAAAATATATTTACTCAAAATATTGACTTATCGTGGGGGAGGTATCAGAAGGATTGGTCCTTTATATTCCACTTTCACACCAGATTTTGCTTAAGCAGAAATATCGGATTGTGTGAAATTTGAAAAGAATTGGATTCTCAATTTTAATTTTATGATCGTTTTGGTTATTCAAAATGTTGATCCTTTTTGGGCGAGGTACCAGAAGTAGTGGATCTATATATTCCATCTTCACAACAGATCTTGTATTGATAGAAATATTAGGATATGCCGAGTTTGAAAGAAATCGGATGCACATTTTGCGTTTTATGAGCTTCATGAGTATTCCAAATTTTTAATCGTAGGGGGGGAGCTACCAGAATGGATGGACCGATATATCTCATCTTCACACCAGATCTTGTGGTGGTAAAAATATTAGAATGTAATATATAATTATAAAAATTAATTATTAAAGTAATAATTATTTAAAATGTTGACCCTTTGTGTGGAAGCTCCTTGATAGAGTGTGCATTGTCGTTCCTGATCTAGAACTGATGACAATATTAGAATTTGTAAAGTTGAAGCAAAATCGGATGATTCTATCTCTTTCTAAGAAGCAAAGTATTTTTTTGAAAATTCCTACATTTTTTGGGGGAGAGGTATTAGAAGGAGTGGACCGATATCGCCCATCTCCGAACTCGATATAATTTTGATAATTATATTACGATGTACCAAGTTTGGACCAAATCGGATACTTCCTTCAAGATTTATCGTGCGCATCAGCCAGCCAGACAGACAGACGGACAGACACCCTTAGATCGACTCCAAATGTCCTGAATCGGATTTGATTCAAAGAGGGCTAGGATCTTAAACCATTGTGGTGATGAGGCACGTTTTGGCCGTATCAAAAGATATATACCCTCTGAAACCACATGGTTGACGAAATTTGAGTCTATATTAGCTCGAACCCATAGAAAAAGCTAATCGTCTAAAATTTTCTGTATAAATGATAACAGGAAGGACTTAATATTGCTATTGTGGTATTCAGTTAAGCCGGAGAATTAGATTACTGAAAATCAAAATTAAAGATACGTAAAGTTGAGAATTTTTTTTCCGGCTTATGTCATTGGCTGACATCTTCTTAAAAGAAAAAAGAAATTAGGGTGACCAAGTTTAAATTATGGACCAAAATTGAACTAAGTCAACCTTAATCTCTTCTATATATTCTCATTTTTTGTGGCATAAGTCATCGCCTGGATTTTTCGTACTAAAATCAAAGGAGTGTAATAATTAATACAGTTTACAGGAGTGTAATAATTAATACATAATTAGAAGATGATCTCCTTAAAGTCTTTTGTTCTTTTCCAAAAAAATCTAGCCGATGACAGACCAAAAAAATATGATTTAATTTATTCTTACCTTGCTAATAAGTTTTATAGCATTTTTATGTGGTGAATTTATTTAACTCCATATTTGAAATTTAAATATTCAAGTAATATTTACTTGTACATTAACCTCGTTTATACACCTAAAAAAACTTCCGAGCAATTTATTTTGTCTTCTAGTGTAAGAACACTCACTAAACTCTACTATGCACCCCTTTCCCCACTAATAACAATTTAATCACCTCCAGCACCTACTAATTTTGTTATTATTATTTATTCAAAATGATTACAAATTAAAAAAAAAATGTATTTAAATTCAATTCAATTTTTTATTTTCACCTTTATTTGCAACCTCTCACTACGTTTCCGCAATCTCCTGCAATTCCCAAAATTGAAAATCCAAAATTGATGCACCACCACTCTTCTGTTCTGTAGTACGCAATGTTGTCATCTTAGAGAATGGCACGACAACACAGCAGCTATTGCAACATCAAAAAGAACAACAACAAAAGGCCACCTCCAGCACCACGACAACAACAACAGTAACTGAAATTCACACCGTTAATGGTAATGACAAATCGCCTGTCGGAGTCATTAGCAATGGTGACGGCAACACCACCACGACCACGGTTAGGAGACAAACTTTGGTCAATGGTAATGTTGTCAATGACAAGACCACCACCTCCAAGACCTCCAATGGCACCACAACAGCAACAGTACCCCACAATAAATTGGCCAATTTGAAATTGAATGATGCTTTGACCACCACCGGCACCAATACACAAATCACTCAAAAAGTCGATCAAATCAATGGTCTGAATGGAGAACATGGTCAGGTGCTGACCACCACCGTGCACACCGTCAGTAATGGCTACAAAGAGGAAGGTAACAAGAAAATCCATGCTAAGGGTAGTGCTGATGTCAAACAATCGAATGCTGCCAGTGGATCGTGTAATACTGTGGTCTCGGCCGATGGCACGACCACAACAACTGTGCGTTCGGCCAAGAGCTCCAGTGTCAAGTATGCCGTGGAAGCCAGTTCCGTACAAGAAGAAATAATCAGGTAACCAGTGGAAATCTAATTTCAAAAGAGTTTAATCCTTCTGCTCGTTTTTTAGGAAAAAAATCAAAATTTTTATAGGTTGAGTTCCATCACTAACCCAGCCCTAACCAAACTCTCCCCCAAAGACATTCGTTCATTCATTGCCTAACATGTTTCTTTCATAACTGTGAAAATCTGAAAAGTTTTGAATATTTTGTTCATTAATTCGTGCTTATTTTATCCCTTATTTAGCTCCTAATGTCTATAGAATTCCCACAGTATTGGGTATCAGCAAAGAGGGTAACATACGCTCAGCACCGGCCTTCTCCATGGCCGGCCGTGAAAAACCCCGACAACTGCCAACTCTACTCTTTCCCGGTCCAGGCTATTATGATTCGGAGTATACGGCAATTAAACGCCGCTCACCAATGTATTCGATGGGTGGCAAACATAAGCTGCCCAGCGATGATAGTATGAAACCGGGGCCAGGTGCTCATTGCCCAGAGAAGGTAAGTGGGAAGTTTTTAATTTGGGTATAGACCGAGTTAGAAAATTTCAGTCGGTCAATTTTCTGTCATAGGCTGCAGTACCCATTACGAACTTCAAATACCAAATTTGATACAATTCCGGTGAATAATGTTGCTAAAATGATCAAAATACCGAATATCGGGACGTACCGTTATATGGGGGCTATACGAAGACGTGGGCCTGCACAGACAATTTTCTGTCACAGACTGTAGTTCCCATTCCGAACTTCAAATACCAAATTTAAAAATTTTCCGGTGAATAATTTCGATAAAATCATCAAAATGCCGAAAAAGGGGAGGAACCATTATATTGGGGCTTTATGAACACGTGAATCTGCACAGACAATTTTCTATCATAGGCTGCAGTATCCGTTACGAACTTCAAATACCAAACTTGATACATTTCCGGTGAATAATGTAGCTAAAATCATCAAAATACCCAATATCGGGAGGTACCGTTATATTAGGCTATACGAAGACGTGGACCTGCACAGACAATTTTCTGTCCTAGGCTGCAGTATCTGTTTCGAACTTCAAATACCAAATTTGAAACATTTCCGGTGAATAATGTAGCTAAAATCATCAAAATACCAAATATCGGGAGGTACCGTTATATGGAGGCTATACGAAGACGTGGATCTGCACAGACAATTTTCTGTCCTAGTCTTGAGTATCCATTACGAACTTCAAATACCAAATTTGAAACATTTCCGGTGCATAATGTCGCTAAAATCTTCAAAATACCGAACAAAGGGACGTGCCATTATATGAGGGCTATATGAAGACGTGAAACTGCACAGACAATTTTCTGTCATAAGCTGTAGTATTCATTACGAACTTCAAATATCAAATTTGAAACGATTCCGGTGAATTATTTCGCTAAAAACATCAAAATACCGAATTATCGGGTAGTGCCGTTATATGGGGGCTTTATGAAGACGTGAAACTACACAGACAATTTTCTATCATAGGCTGCAGTATCCGTTACGAACTTCAAATACCAAATTTGAAACGATTCCGATGGCTAATGTCGCTAAAATCATCCAAATACCGAATATCGGGAGGTACCGTTATATGGGGGCTTTATGAAGACGTAAAACTGTATAAACAATTTTCTGTCATAGGCTGCAGTATCCGTTACGAACTTCAAATACTAAATTTGAAACATTTCCGGTAAGTAATGTCGCTAAAATCACTAAAATATCGAAAAAAGGGAGAAACCATTATATAGGGGCTATACCAAAACCTAAACCTACATTACCCATTTTCATAGTCCTGCAGACATAATACAGATTTGAGTAAAATTTTATTAACCTACTTTATTTTGTTCGTAAGCCAGAGAATATATAAACTTTGTGGGGTCTAAAATGTGTATTTAGATGTGTTACAAACCGAATGACAAACTTCATATACCCTCCATATATGACAAGACAATAATTTCGGTGAGATAGGACGACTGATCATTTAGCTTCCATCTACTCAATGTAAATTTGGGTTTCCAATATCCGTAATCTGTGAGCGGGTTTTTGATATCAATCAGCTATATTTGTCGAAAGATTATGGAATAAATTGACTTGTATCATAATATTCAAAATTTAAAAATACAATTCCATTACTTAACCTCATTTTTTATTTTTTCTCTATCTCTCTTTCAGATAAATTTATCCAATGTTCCAGCCTATAGTTTTGGCATAAAACACTCTCCCTATTTGGGTTACATACGTGAACATCATGATTATGGGTTTTCCGGTATTTGTTAAATATTTTATTTCAGTCGGGCTTTTTTCAAACTCATTTTTTGCTGCAGTACCTTTATTATTTGCTGATGCCTTATGCCTTATATTGTATAATTTTTTTGTATTCCTCCTAATTTATGATATAATTTTTATATATGAAACGTGATTTTATTTTTTGTTACTTTCTTTTCTCAAAAAAAACAAAACTAATCAAAGACTATTTCTCGAATAATATTTTACTATACTAAACTGAAACTATTTCTCGAATAATATTTTACTATACTAAACTGAAACTATTTCTCGAATATTAATATTTTAATTTATTAACAATGGAATGTTATTTTGTAATTTTTATTTTCACGATTTCTTTATTTTGTAACTTCTTTTTTTAATTATTTTATATTAATGATATGTTTTGAAAAAAAATGTAAATTTTGTATTATACTAATTACACAAATTGTGTCTTCTAACCGAATAATTATAAAAATTTGTGGCTATATATAAATTTAAGAAAAAGGAAAAAAAACAAAAATGATACTGACATAACGAACATAAAACACTCAATTAATGTAATAAAAGTTAACATTTTCAATAAAAAAAATTAAATAAAAAGCCTACAAAATTGATGTTTTGATTTATGGGGGAAGTTATGACTAAACCCTGCACTGAAAACGTGTTTTCTATAAGGGGTCTTCATTAGATGTTGATAGATTAAATCGTTTATTACTCATTTAGAAATATCCAAAATAGAATATGAGGTTATACAAAGATATTAGTAAAACAATTTTTGAATTATATTTAACTAAATATTTTCAAAATATGTAATCGCATCTATCTTAAATCTACTTCAAATTTTCCAATAAAAATAAATTTCATACCTTGCAACAATTTATAGCACCCATTCTGGTTTTGAAGATACTGAACTTCGTTGCGGAATCAAATAGGTTTTCTTCTCACCTAAATGAGGTGTGTGTCGTATTGAAAAGGAAGGAGCTGGCACCGATTTGTGTTTGTTGTACTGAAATATAAGAGTTGTATTGTTAGAAGTCAGTTTGAGATAAGAATCTTTAAAATCTAAAATGCCATAAAATAATAAGTAAAAAGCACCATAGGCTGTAGTACTGATAGCGAACTTCAAATACGAAATTTGAAACAATTTCGGTGAATAAAGTCGCTAATATCGTCAAAATACGAAAAAAACGTGGATCTGCGCAGACAATTTTTTGTCATAGGCTGTAGTATCCATTCAAATACCAAATTTGAAACAATTTCGGTGAATAAAGTCGTTAAAATCGTCAAAATACCAAATATCGGGAGGTACCGTTGTATGGGGGCTATACTAAGACGGGGACCTGCACAGACAATTTTCTGTCATAGGCTGTAGTATCCATTACGAACTTTAAATACCAAATTTAAAACAATTTCGGTGAATAATGTTCCTAAAATCATCAAAATACCGAATATCGGAAGGTACCGTTATGTGCGCTATAGGAAAACGTTGAACTAGATATTCAATGTTAGGTCACCGGAGCTAGAACCCATTACGAACTACAAATACCAATTTTTAGACAAATCTGTAGAAAAATTTGGGTAAAACAAACAAAATGCCGAATATTGGGAGGTACCGTTATACGGAATCTATGTACAATGTTCCTCTATCGAAGCTAGAACCTATATCGAACTACAAATACCAATTTTCAGACAAATCCGTGGAAAAATGTTGCAAAAATCATCAAAATACCGAATAACGGGAGGTACTGTTATACGGGGGCTATACGAAAACGCGGACCCACATGTACAATCTTCCGCCACTAGAGATTGAACCCATAACCAAATTCAAATACCAATTTTTAGACAAATTGGTGGAAATCCTTGGCTAAAAATATCAAAATACCGAATGCCGGGAGGTACCGTTATATGGGGGGTATCCCAAAACGTGGATCGATATATCTAATTTTCGATACCAAAATTGCTTTGCCAAATTTTAAAGCTCTACGTCAAATAATGAGAGCTGTATCATGATTTCAACAGACAGACGGACATCATTAAAACGACTTAGAATTTTATCCTGATCATGATTATTTACTTCATGGGGTCTCTGAAGGATATTTAGAAGTGTTACAAACGGAGGTGGAATGTATTAAAATGTTCTATATCGGTTCAAGCCCCCATATATCGATACCCCCGATATTCGGTATTTTTATGATGTTAGCGAATTTTTTTATTGGAATTGTTTAAAATTTTGTATTTAAAGTTTGTTATGGGTACTACAGCCTATGACAAAAAATTACTTATGACTAAAAAATTGTTGAGGCCACAACATGCTCTTCTAGAAAAAAATGGATCGTTGTAGCAGTTTTAAGTTTTCTGGTAACTTTTCCTACAGGAAACTGTTAAAAACTGGAATATGTAAAGGGATCAATTAATTATTGATTTAACAATAAAGATGTCATGACGCCCTTATGGCATCCCCTCTATTTGTTATATGTTTCTTTATTTTTAAAACCAATGAAAAATGAATTATTCTTTTTCACGGAAAAACTCAATAAACTCTTCTCTGCGCGCTCTCCAGTAAATGTTTTTTTTTTTTTATAACGGTTGAATTTGAAAATATTTAGTTCCATTTTTTAAACAATAAATACAAATACAGGACTGCCAGAAGAAACAAGTAAGCGTACCCTACAACACTGTATTTTAACTACTTAAAATGTCATTCGAAATATCAAATTTGTTTCTTTAGGACAGATGTGCTGCACTTACGCACTAGTCACATCGTCAAAAAAACAGCTTTCGGTATTAAATACATTCGCGGTTGAATGAAAAATATTGAATTTTTCGTACAAAAATTAAGGTCTATTTCATCCTCTAAATATTATCCGATGGCCACCCAAAATGGTAGACAATGAACCGTTTTTGGACCAATTAAACTTAAAATACCCTCGAAGACATAGTGTTGCAGGGTATAATAAATGCTCCGTCAACATAATTTTGAATTGTGCTCATCAAAATCTCATTAAACCCTCTATACTGTAATTTTCTTGTATTATATTTTTATTTAAACTTACATTTTCAGGACAGTAGGCTCCTGGACCCGGTTTCATATGTTCATCGCTTATTGGTTTGTGCTTTATGTGCATGCTAAATTTTGGTGGTGATTTTCGAAAATGCTTACTATTATCTTCATATTGGCCCGGGCCGGGTAAGACAAAGGCAGGAATTTGTCTTGGTTTATCGCGACCAATTAGCGAGAAGGCCGGTGCTGCCTTTATTTGACTTTCTTTGGCTGTACCAAGTGTGGTGGGTAGATTATAGACATTGGGAGCTGAAAACAAAAATTTGAATGAATCGGACAATACCAGACCACAAATCAGTCCTTACCCGGTGTTGGCAAAGATTTCAGTGCTTTTGGTCTCTTACCAAAAGAGTATGATGGCACACTTTTAATAGTTGCAGTTATGGCTGCCTGAATGTCATAACGTCCCGGTTCTGGTGGCGACCATTTCTTTAGGTCATTGGGACGAAATTTCAACGAAAATGCCGGTGGTCTGTGGACACCTTTATTGTATATGCCTGCAATATTATATTTTGCTGGACCATCTTCAATGTGTAAATGACGCCGTTTAGTCTTGCGACTTATGGAATAGGCCGGAGCAGATTTCTTTTTGGAATCGACAATATGAGGACCCAATAGCGGTGGTACGGCTTTATAGGATGGCTTTCCAATCAATTGCTGGGGGTGACTTTTTCCTTTACGCTGAGTTGGTGTCCAGGGTTTCTGTTCGATATTTGTTCCTGCATTCAGTAGCCGTTTCTTTGAAGGCTCTTTTGAACAGGGACTTTTAAAACGTCGGCGCAATAGTTTAGTAGTTTTGTAAACCTTGAGAAGAAACAATAATGTGGGCGAATTAAAAGTATTACCAAATAGGGTCGTAAAATCCTTACCATATTCTCTTTTGTATTATTTAGATTTGAATTCAAACTGAAATATGTTATTGAAAATTATTTGTCTGACAAATTTTCCGCAGCTACCATCGGAGTAAAAAGTAATTAAAAGTCGGAACAAATGTGAGTGCCGTGGAATTCGATTGGGAAATTGAAAAATGTTCCAAAATTGTGTTAAAAAGACATCTGCTGGAACTTAAAAACCTTTACTAAACGATTTTTCCCAATAACTTTTTTATTTCTTTCCATTTTACGAATCATTTTCATTAGTTTTCTTTTATTGAATTCAAATAATTTGTCTTTTGTAAACGCATTGTTATTTTTAGCAAATGGTGGAACAATATCGATAACATCTGACAAAATGTCAATCGATATTAAGTAAAAAAAAAAAACAAATATCGATAGTGCACCATCGATTGTTTGTCACCTCTATTCTGTTGTTGGCCAACACGTTGCACATTTTTATTAGCAACGATTTTGGTTTTATTTTGTGAATTAAATTGCAAATCAATAACGAATTCGACATCAAACATTTGTTTATAACAACAATTATAAAAAATGGTGAGTTACAACAACAACATACGCAGAGAAAGAGCCTCCCAAATTGAGACACAGTAGAACGTGTGTTTTTCGCGAAACTTAGTACCCGGCAATCTGATGTTCCCATTTTTCGCAGAAAGCTGACGCAATAATCCCAAGAATTATAAATAATATTTCCCATTTACTCATTTTCTCTAGGCTGCTGTCGAGCGTAAAGGTACCTTTAAGGTCGAATATTTGCAAAAAATCGAAGAGGAAGTACAACAGCGATGGGAGAAAGAACATTTGCACGAAACAGATGCTCCTTTGGAGCCAAGAAAATCGTTGGATGAAAAGTTCATGGTTACCTTTCCCTTCCCCTATATGAATGGTCGTCTTCATTTGGGTCATACCTTTTCGCTGTCCAAGGCTGAGTATGCCATACGTTATCATCGTTTGAAGGGAAAACGTGTGCTATGGCCATTTGGATTCCACTGTACCGGCATGCCCATCAAAGCCTGTGCTGATAAGCTGAAACGTGAAATGGAAGATTATGGTTATCCACCACAATTTCCTGCCGTAAAAGAGGAGGTTGTCGTCGAGGTGGCCCAGCCAGAGGTGCCTAAGGACAAGTCCAAAGGTAAGAAGAGTAAGGCAGTGGCCAAAACCGGCTCGGCTAAATATCAATGGCAGATTATGCAAAGTTTGGGCTTGAAGGATGAGGAAATCAAAGAATTTGCCCAGGCCGAACATTGGTTGAACTATTTCCCTCCATTGGCAGTAAAGGATTTGAAGAGAATTGGTGTACATGTAAGTGTAAATCATCCCCCTAATTGGTTTCGCAGATAAAAGTCGTTTCTTTTCCTCCCTTAGGTTGATTGGCGCCGTACATTTATTACCACGGATGTGAATCCCTTTTTCGATTCCTTTGTTCGCTGGCAATTTGTTCATTTGAAAAATCGTGGTAAGGTTATGTATGGCAAACGTTACACAATTTACTCACCCAAGGATGGACAACCCTGTATGGATCATGATCGTTCCACGGGTGAGGGTGTGGGTCCTCAGGAATATACTTTGATCAAAATGAAGGTATTGGAGAACAAAGGAAAGTTAAGGTGAACACATTTTAGTTTTTCTAAAAAATTCTTTATAACCGTACCCCATTCCTTTAGCTCCATAAAGGCTCCCGTTTATTTGGTGGCTGCTACTTTGAGACCTGAAACTATGTACGGTCAAACCAACTGCTGGCTGCATCCAGACATCAAATACATTGCCTGGAAGACAACACGTAACGATGAAGTCTGGGTAAGCACCCGACGTGCTGCCCGCAACATGTCCTACCAAGGCTTTACTGCCGTTGAGGGCAAAGTAGAGGAACTTTTGGAATTGACTGGACAAGATTTACTCGGCACACCCTTGTCTTCACCCCTGACTAGTCACAAAGTAATTTATACCTTACCCATGTTGTCGATCAAGGAAGATAAGGGCACTGGTGTCGTTACCTCTGTGCCTTCTGATTCTCCCGACGATTATGCTGCCTTGGTGGATCTACAAAAGAAGGAAGCTTTCCGCCAAAAATATGGCCTTACCGATGAAATGGTTTTACCCTATGAACCTACACCCATCATTGAAGTACCCACCTTGGGTAATTTGTGTGCCAAATTTGCCTATGAGAAGTTCAAGATTCAATCACAAAACGACAAGGATAAATTGGTGGAAGCCAAGGAATTGTGTTACCTCAAGGGTTTCTATGATGGCGTCATGTTGGTTGGCGAATTCAAGGGCAAGAAGGTACAGGATGTGAAAAAGGATTTGCAAAAACAATTGTTGAATTCCAAAGAGGCTGATATCTACTATGAACCGGAGAAGACTATAATTTCCCGTTCCGGTGACCAGTGTGTGGTTGCCCTGTGTAATCAATGGTATTTGAACTATGGTGAAAGCGAATGGCAAGGACAAGCCAAGAAGATTTTGTCACAAATGGAAACATTCCATGAAGAGGCTAGAAATAATTTTGAACACTGCCTGGGTTGGTTGCATGAATATGCCTGCTCCCGTACTTATGGCTTGGGTACTAAGTTGCCCTGGGATGAACAGTGGTTGATTGAATCTCTGTCGGACTCTACCATCTACATGGCCTTCTATACTGTGGTCCATTTACTGCAAGGAGGTTCGTTCCGTGGTGAGAAACCCAGTCCATTGGGCATTAAGGCACAGGAAATGACTTCGGATGTATGGGACTACATTTTCTTCAAGGAAACACCCTATCCCCAGAATTGTGGCATCCAAAAGGAGAAATTGGACATTCTGCGACGCGAATTCGAATACTGGTATCCCATGGATTTAAGAGTATCGGGCAAAGATTTGATCCAGAACCATTTGACTTTCATGCTCTACAATCATGCCGCCATGTGGCCCAAGGATGAGAACAAATGGCCCAAAGGTGTGCGTGTAAATGGTCACTTATTGCTGAACTCGGCTAAGATGTCCAAGTCTGATGGTAACTTTTTGACACTACACGAAGCTGTGGACAAGTTTTCAGCCGATGGCATGCGTCTGTGTTTGGCTGATGCCGGTGACAGTGTTGAAGATGCCAACTTTGTGGAAGCCACAGCTGATGCTGGTATCTTGCGTCTTTACACTTTCATTGAATGGGTCAAGGAGATGATTGCTGCCCGCCCTGCTATGCGTAAGGATGCTCATCACACATTCAACGACAAGGTGTTCATCAGCGAAATGAATTTAAAGACAAAACAGACCGATGAATTCTACAAGAAAATGCTGTTCAAGGAGGCATTGCGTTCCGGTTTCTATGAATTGCAATTGACCCGTGACAAATACCGTGAATTGTGTGGTGCCCAGGGTATGCATGCCGATTTAGTCTTCGAATTCATACGTCGCCAAGCTTTGCTCATGGCTCCAATTTGTCCCCATGTTGCCGAACATGTTTGGGGGCTGCTTGGTAACAAACAATCCATTTTGTTGGCCACCTGGCCTGAGGTTGGTCCCATCAATGAGACCGACATTATGTGTTCGGAATATTTAATGGAAGCTGCTCACGCTTTCCGTTTGAATTTGAAAAATCTCTTACAAGTCAAGGGTAAGGGTGGCAAAGAAAAGGCCGTTGACCCAACATCAGCCAAACCTAACCGTGCTGTAGCCTGGGTTGCCAAAACCTATCCACCATGGCAATCGTGTGTTTTGAATACCATGCGTGAACTCTACACCGCCAACAAAGACTGTCTGCCGGATAACAAAGTCATTTCCACTGCCCTGGGGCAAAAGGAGATCCTAAAGAAATACATGAAACGCGTTATGCCCTTCGCTCAAATGATTCGTGAAAAGGTGGAGAGCGGTAAAGGTTTGGCAGCTATGGCTGTTTCCTTGGAATTCGATGAACGACAAGTTCTCCTCGACAATTTGGATTACCTGAAGAATACTTTGGATATTGAGGCTCTTGAAATTAAATATACCGATGATCCTGCCGCTCCCGAAAAGACACGCGAGGAAGTAAGGCCTGGAAATCCATTCATAACATTTACCGTTGCACCACATGTGCCAGTTGTCTTCACCAATCCCATTGAACGGTCGGGGTTATTCCAAGTAAACGCCGTTGTCAGCGAAGGTGAGACGACAAGGAGTCTCAAAGAAAAGCTAGCCAAAATTTTGGGCTTTAAGGGTAAGTAATGAAAAAATATTTTAGGTTTTTGTAATACATAAAAATGTTGTTTTTTTACAGCTGATTTATCTACTTTGAAAATATGGCGTTATGATGACCCTGTTATGGGCCATCGTAAAATGCCTGAATTCCAAAATTTCAAAGCCGGCAAATCTCTACTGACTGAAGGCTCTCTAGTGGTGGATGTGGAAAAGCAAAGTATTACTTTAGTCGAAGAGGGTAGCGGCGCCTCCATACCTGTTGGCCGCTACTTTGTTTATGTTGTAGAGTAGAACAAAAGTTTTTTGTTCTTCTTAATTTAAACTATAATAATTTCAGTAAAATTTTTCTTTTTATTTATAAATAATAAAAGATCAGGAACTATGCAAAGCATGATTGGTAAACTACAAAAGCGAACAAAGGACAACGGTGTTTTAATTTTCGTTGGCATGTTTATGGACATAAGGGAATCACGAAATAAAATATACTGGACTAGAAACCGGACATCTTAAGTCACTGAATGAATTCGTGAAAATCAATGGCATTAAGAATTTTTGCGGAATTTTTTGTATTAAAAATTGGGCCAGAAAGTTATCCATAACGGATAATAGTATGATTAGATTACTTAAGGATTGCGAACATTGATTTTTTTGGCAGTATCAAAGCGTCATCATAATTGTTTTGGGCTTGGAAATTAGCTCGTGGTGGTTCAGAGTCCACCACCATATGGGCTGCACCAAAAAAGCTTTCATCAAAGAAGATGACAGAAAATGGTACTGGAAACCCTTTTGCATGGTGTTCAAGGGCGTCTGACCGGTACTATCGAGAATAAGAGCCAGCCTTGAATAAATTAGAAGGGCTGATCTAAGAATCGCTGTAGGTATATTGATACGGCTCTATAGTATCACATATCTCAACTCAAATTGGATAACAGTGGCTCTAACTACTGCAGAAAAGCATATCCTGTCTAGACAAACCATCTCTACAACTCCTTCCGGAATTTTTAATATTAAAAATTGGGCCGGAAAGTTAAATATTTACGAATAATAGTATGATTAGATATCTTAAGGATTGCAAACATGGATTTTATTGGCAGTATTAAAGCGTCACCATAATTGTTTTGGGCTTGGAAATTAGCTCGTGGTGGTTCAGAGTCCACCATCATATGGGCTGCATCAAAAAATCTTTCATCTAAGAAAATGACGGAAAAAGGATCTGAAAACCCGTTTGCAAGGTGTCTAAGAACATCTGACCGGAAATATCGAGAATTAGAGTCGGCCTTGAATAAATTAGAAGGGCTGATCTAAGAATCGCGGTAGGTATATTGATAGGGCTCTATGGTATCACATATCTCAAATCAAATTGGATAACATTGGCTTTAACTACTGCAGAAAAGCATATCCTGACTAGACAAACCATCTCTACAACTCCTTCCATATTTTTATACCCTCCACCATAGTATGGAGGGTATATTAAGTTTGTCATCCCGTTTGTAACGCCTCGAAATATACATTTTAGACTCCACAAAGTATATATATTCTTGATCAGCATAAAATTCTATGTCGATTTATCAATATCCGTCCGCCTGTCCGTTTGTGGAAATCATTCTAGCTTCCGAACGAAATGAAGTAAGTTGATAAAAATTTACCCAAATGTGTATTATGTCTGCAGGACTTTTGGTATTGAAAATGGCCCATGCAGGTCCACGTCTTTATATAGCCCCCATATAACGGTACCTACCGATATTCGGAATTTTGACGATTTTAGCGACTTTATTTACCGGAATTGTTTCAAATTCGGTATTTGAAGTTCGTGATAGATACTGCAGCACTAGACAGAAAATGGGTTATGTAAGTCCATGTCTTCGCATAGTCCCCATATAACGGTACCCCCCGAAATTCGGTATTTTGATGATTTTAGCGACATTATTTACCGGAATTGTTTCAAATTCAGTATTTGAAGTTCGAAATGGATACTACATCATAAGACAGAAAATAAGCCATGTAGCTTCACGTCTTCCTATAGCCCCCATATAACGGTACCCCCCTGATAATCGGTATTTGGATGATTTTTGCGACATTATTTACCGAAATTGTTTCAAATTTGGTATTTGAAGTTCGTAATGGATACTACAGCCTAAGACAGGACACTCCTACCTTTGCAAAATGCTAAAATTTGTGTTAATACCTTTTTCGGGTCCGGCTACGCGAATTAAATTTTTTCTAAATTTAACAGTTTTTGTAAGTAGCCGGACTTCGGCCGGGACCTTATAATTTCCTCTTCTGTCCCACGCCGGCTAACGCGAACCAAAATTTTCTACATTTGACACTTTTTGAAAGTAGGGGCTTGAAATTTTCTCCTCTGGGGATGATTATATCATCAAATATGATGGCAACTTTAAGAATTGCCGGAGAGAATTTTTGTGTCGAAAAAAGTATATCCAACTACTGTTTCTTGGCTTGGTAGATCTTTAGAATCAATTTGTCGGTAACATTATTCATTCAGCAAAGAACCCCCTAATTAAATGCATGTAATTACAGATATAGGTTTTATGACTTTCGATAGTTTAACTAAATACCACCTTCGGTAATTGTGTCAAGTCCCATAATTCAGAAAAAAAAGTTTCAAAACTAAGTAAATGCGGGTGCTAAGCGGAAATTGGTGGATTTTTGTTATCTTTATGTTGTTCGGCACGGGGTCAAAGAAAATCAATAGAGTATAAATTACTGAACAAATTGGAGTGGTTATGGTATTTTCAAATTGAATTATCTACAGAAAAGAACAACACCTGCTCCAATAATGAATTTGTCTATTGTTGCAATAACCGTTTTGTCTCTAATGGCTGTCCAAGCCAGAATTGTGGAGCAAAAAGATGTGGAAGAAAGGCCACGTTTGGATGGCCGCATTGTTGGTGGTCATAGAATTAATATCAGCGATGCACCACATCAGGTGTCGCTGCAAACATCGTCACACATCTGTGGAGGTTCCATAATTTCCAAACAATGGATTTTGACGGCGGCCCACTGTACTTCGTAAGAGTAAAGAATATTGATTATTTTTAAATATATTTAATTTAAATTTATTTTCCAGTGGCAAAACAGCAAAGGACCTTAAGGTACGTCTTGGCACCTCAGTCTACCTGTGGGGCGGTGAACTAATTCAGGTCGCTGAAATAGTTCAGCACGAACAATTCAATACATCCAATATAGACTACGATTATTCCCTCTTGAAGCTGGCCCGCGAGATTGAATTCGACAAAACCAAACAGCCTGCCAAGCTACCAGAAACTGAGGGCGATGATACCAAGGATGGTGTCATGTGCCATGTTACCGGCTGGGGAAGTACACAAAATCCATTTGAGCCTCGTGCCTGGTTACGTCAAACCGAGGTTCCCATATTCAATCGAGAAGAATGCTTTAAGAAATATGAAAAATTTGGTGGTGTTACCGAGTGCATGATCTGTGCCGGCTACATTGAGGGTGGTAAGGATGCTTGCCAGGGTGATTCTGGTGGTCCATTGGTTACAGAGGATGGTGTACTGGTTGGTGTGGTGTCTTGGGGTTATGGCTGTGCCCGTCCTGAATATCCTGGTATATATTCCAAGGTTTCTTACGTTCGTGATTGGATTCGCACAAATAGTGGCGTGTGAATGGTAGTTGGTGAATGTTTTATAATTGGCAAATAAAGTGTGATTTTAACAAAATAAAATTATCGTTTTTAATGGGCAAACTGTCTGTAACATAAAATATTTGTATCCTGTTCAGCAGCTTCTTTCTTAGAGAGAAAAGTTTATTCTCTTTTGTAAGAAAATCGTAAGCATTAAACTACTGTCTGTAAAAGTAGTGCTGCTCAAGAACATGAGCCCGCTCACCAGTCAATTTTAGTTTGTTATTATTTGTTATTAGCTTCATTAACTTTAATATTAAAAACAGTTGAAATAATAAAAAACAAGTAAAAAAGCTGTAGGTCCTCCATTTGGAACGAATTTGGCAATTTCCAGAATAATTAAATCCGTTAAAACTTCTGTTAAAATCTTAAAAATACCGAATGTAGCCATAATATTAGGATCTATACGACGACATTGACCTGCATAAACAACTTTTGTCCCAAGTCAAATGCGAAACTTGAAAAAAATAATAATTTAGGAAATCATAAAATGCCGAATATAGGGAGGTACTATTATATGGGGGCTATTCCAAAACGTGAACCTGCACACACAATTTTCTGTAATAGGCTTTATACCCATTACGAATTTCAAATACCAAATTTGAAACAATTTCGGTGAATAATGTCGCTAAAATCATCAAAATACCAAAAATCGGGAGTTCCCGCTGCATGGAGGCTATACGAAGACGTGGACCTGCTCAAAAAATTTTCTGTCAAAGGGTGTAGTGCCCATTACAAATATCAAATACCAAATTTGAAACAATTCCGGTGAATAATGTCGCTAAAATCATCAAAATACCGAATATCGGGAGGTGCCGTTACATGGAGGCTATACGAAGACGTAGACCAGCACAGAGAATATTCTGTCACAGGCTGTACTATCCATTACAAACTTCAAATACCAAATTTGAAACATTTTCTGTGAATAATGTCGCTAAAATCATCAAAATACAGAATATCGGGAGGTGCCGTTACATGGGGGCTATGCCAAGACGTGGCCCTGCACAGACAATTTTCTGTCATAGGCTGTAGTACTCGTTACGAATTTCAAATACCAAATTTAAAACATTTTCGGTGAATAATGTCGCTTAAATCACCAAAATACCGAAAACAGGGAGGTATAATTATACGGGGACTATATGAAGACGTGGACCTGCACAGACAATTTTCTGTCATAGGGTGAAGTACCCATTACAAAATTTCAAATACCAAATTTGAAACATTTCCATTGAATAATGTCGCTTAAAACACCAAAATACCGAAAATAGGGAGGTACCATTATACGGGAGCTATTTGAAAACGTTACGAACTTACGAACGAAAATGAAATATTGCAAAAATGAACTTACCCCATTGAAATTCCAAAAAGAGCAAGAACTTACACCGCAACAGAAAGAAATTAGACTCAAAGGAGCTAAAGAGTTGCTTCGCTTGGCCGAAAGTGAGAAAACATTCGTTGTCCAGCAGTTTGTAAAAAAACACAATGATCGCGTTTACTTGCCAAAGAGGTCAGCTGAAAATGTGCACCTTCGGTTGGCCACCAGAACTCAAGCACCGGCCATGGTGATGGTGTGGGCCGCCTTAACAGCCGATGGTCGCTCTCCGCTCGTATTAATCGACCGTGGCATCAGAATCGACGCCGAATATTATCGCGAAAATTTTCTGGATGGTGTATTAAAGCCTTGGGCACGCCAATATTTTGGCCGCAGAAGTTGGACATTCTAACTGGACTCAGCACGCGCCACCCAAGAATGGTTACAAAATGAGGTTCCTCGCTTCATTTCCAGCGCACAATTGCCACCAAAATCTCCGGATACCAATCCGTTGGACTACTTGTCTGGAGTATTTTGGAAAGCAAGGTTGGCACTAAAAAATACCAAAGTGGCGATCACTTCAAGCAAGCGCTTTGCCGGGAATGGGCCAAAATACCGCAGAGAAACATTCGGGCAGCGTGTGAAGGTTTCATTGCTATTTCCGACATTTTTGCTTTCATTCAACAAATTTAAAAAAAAAAAAAAACAGTAAAGAAAGTCCTAAAGGCGGGCGAGGCCGACTTTATGATACCCTACACCACTTTGCTAATTTAGTAGAGCTCCACATAACAATTAAAAGATTTTTTGGGAGAATTTAATCATACACACTATGATAATAATTATTATTTAAATTTCAAAGGAGTAAATATGCCGAGGCATATGTATCTTTTAAATTCGGACTTGTATTCCCCATTTGGTGCAAAATTAATTCGAAATCAGATAAAGATATATATGGGAACTATATCCAAATCTGAACCGATCTCGATAAAATTTGGCAAAGATATTTCTGAGTTGATATATTTCCCTGAATACAGTTGTTACGGAGTGCATATTACGGCTGTGGGTATCAAATACAACAAATCGGATGAGCAATATATATGGGAGCTATAGCTATATCCGAACCGATCTTCACCAAATTTGGCATACTACCTTCTAGACTCAATTCGGTCGTATGTGCTAAATTCCATCCCATTTGGGCAAATATTAGACGTTTGGCGCACAATAAAAGGTAAATCGGACGAAGTTATATATGGCAGCTATATCCAAATCTGAACCGATCTCGATAAAATTTAGCAAAGGTATTTCTGAGCTGCATTTGATATATTTCCCCAAACATTGTTGTTACAGAGTGTATATTACGGCTGTAGGTAACAAATACAACAAATCGGATGAACAATATATATGGGAGCTATAGGTATATCCGAACCGATCTTCACCAAATTTGGCATACTACCTTCTAGACTCAATTCGGTCGTATGTGCTAAATTCCATCCCATTTGGGCAAATATTAGACGTTTGGCGTACAATAAAAGGTAAATCGGACGAAGTTATATATGGCAGCTATATCCAAATCTGAACCCATTTCGATAAAATTTAGCAAAGGTATTTCTGAGCTGCATTTGATATATTTCCCCAAGTATTGTTATTACAGAGTGCATATTACGGCTGCGGAGGACAAAAATAGCAAATCGTATGAACAATATATATGGGAGCTATAGCTATATCTGAACCGATTTCGATCAAATTTGGTATACTTATTTTCAGGCCTAATTTAGTTGTATGTGCAAAATTCCATACTATTCAGACTGATATTACACGTTTGGTGCACAATAAAAGGCAAATCGGACGAAGATATATATGGGAGCTATATCTAAATTTTGATCGATTATCTCCAATTTCAATAGGGTTCGTCCTTGGGCCAAACAAATGTTGTTTGGAAAATTTCATCTCAATCGGATAATAAATCCGACCTGCATTTTGTTCACAAGAATTCATGGACAGACGTACGGACTGACATGCATAAATCAACTCAGAAAGTGATTCTATGGAGATCCTCAAAAGTAACTATGAGTCTATCTCGCTTCCTTCTCCATGTTACAAACAAATGCACAAAGACATAATACCCTTACCACTATGTGGTGTAGGGTATAAAAATGTAAAGATGATGTCGTTTGACTGCGTTGCAGTTTTTTTATTTCACCCTGTATGAGTACTTTTTGTAGCCTTTTAGTACGAATTTCTAGAAAATTCAGCCACACCACATGCCTATACACCAAAACTGGCCCTCGGGAAAAATTCAAGATTTTATATTCTAACTTCGTTATTTTCGTCACTACTTTGACCTTAAATGCAATTTTTAACCACATTTGGAAAAAGGGGCCAAAAAGACCCCTTGACTTGCCGGAAATACTGCATAACCAAAATTTAAGCATTCCATGAGATCTTAAAACAAAATTCCCCTCTATTTAGGCTACTTTGGGATATAAATTTTCAAAACGCCGATAAGTGTTTCTTCTATTTTTTCATCAACTTTTTTAATCTATGGAGGATTTCTTGTGATTATGGAAAACAATGAATTTCACACGGAGACCAACAATTTTGATATTTTCCCAACCGAATGTGCTTCATAATTATGCCATGCTCGGTGAAGGGCTAAAGTGCAACCTTAAGTTGTGCTTAACAAATAAAATCGAAAGTAATTAAATGCGGGTTGTAAGTAACCGGAACTAGTTGTGGCAATGAAAGTTGATAGTTTTTTATTTGTTATCATTGCGTTGGGCGCCACGGGTGACAGATAAGTTTTTCTAAAAGTGGTGAGACAAAGTTTAAGTTTACGAAATACAAATTTTTATATAAAACACTATTCGAATTGGAGTTGAGACATCAGTTCCTATTATTAACTTCCAAAGACAAGAAGAACAAAGAGTTTATAAAATGAAGTCATTCATAATAACAACAATAGCAGTATTGTCCTTTATGGGAGTGCAAGGTAGATTTTTAGAGGATATGGATATTGAAGGAACTCCACGATTGGATGGACGCATTGTGGGTGGCCATAAAATCAACATCACCGATGCCCCACATCAAATTTCATTGCAAACATCGGCACACATTTGTGGTGGTTCCATAATTTCCAAACAATGGATTTTAACGGCGGCTCACTGTACCTAGTAAGTTCGATTCTATGACTCGGATTAATAATATAAATAATTTTTAATAAATATTGCATAATGTTTCCAGTGGCAAAACAGCAGATCGCATGAAGGTACGTCTGGGCACCTCCGAGTCGGCAAAGGGTGGCGAGCTAATTGATGTCGTCGAAATTGTTCAACATGAAAAATTCAATTACTCCAATGTGGATTATGATTATTCCCTACTCAAATTGGAGCATGAAATAGAATTCGATGAAACTAAACAACCTGTCAAGTTGCCAGAAACTAAGGAAGAGAATGCCAAGGATGGTGATATGTGCCGTGTTACCGGTTGGGGTAATACTCAAAATATCTTGGAATCTCGTACATGGTTGCGTCAGGCGGAAGTTCCCATTTTCAGTCAAGAGGAGTGTTCGGAAAAGTATAAGAAATTCGGTGGTGTTACTGAGCGTATGATATGCGCCGGGTACATTCAAGGTGGCAAGGATGCATGCCAGGGTGATTCAGGTGGTCCATTGGTTTCCGAGGATGGTGTTCTCGTTGGTGTTGTGTCTTGGGGTTATGGTTGTGCCCGTCCCGATTATCCTGGCATCTATTCGAGAGTTTCCTATGTTCGTGATTGGATTCGTACGAATAGTGGGGTTTAATTGACATATTCCGACTGTATGTGAGAAATAAACATTTGTGAAATAAAAAAATATTTTTTAATTTATTTTTTTAATACTACGATCTACATATTTTACAAATAAAGCAGTATGTCCAGCCGGACCGAATTATGAATAAAAATGCCAAATATATATTGGGGTCTTTATAAAGACGTGATCTTCAATATGCAACGTTTGTCATAAGCCATTACAATATTCAAATACGAATCTTAAAAAAAAATTCATGTGAATAATGTAGCTAAAATCATCAAAATACTGAATATAGGCAGGTACCGATATATAGGCCCTATGCGAATACCTGGACCTGCAAAGACTATTTTCTGTCATAGACTGTAGTACCCATTAAGAACTTCAAATGTGATATTTGAAATAATTCCGGTGAATAATGTCCATAAAATCATCAAAATATCGAGTATGGGGGAGGAGGTATCATTGTATGGGGCTATAGGATATCGTGGACCTATATAGACAATTTTTTCCAGGGGGTAAAGTACTTAGAAAGCTTTTCTTGTGCGGATTTTCATATAATTCCGGTTAATAATGTCGCTAAAATCATAAAAAATACTGAATGTAGGGAGGTACCGTTATATGGGGGATATACGATATGGTGTACCTATATAGACAATACACTTCCAGGGGTAAAGAACTCAGAAGATACTCCTTGTGTTGATTTTCAGACATTCTATTGAAAAAGTTGGCTACAATTATCAAAATACAGAATATCTGGGGTACCGTTATATGGTGGCTATATAAAATGGTGGATCGATATAGATAATCTTCGAACTTGACCTGCTTGCAGGCAAAAGACTCATCTGTGCAAAAGATTTGCTTCCTATCTTTATTCGCTTCGACTCTAGCATGATTCCAATAGACGGACAGGTCAAAATCGTCTTAGAATTTTACGCTGACCAAGATTGTTAGGTCTAAAATTATTATTTCGATGACTTACACACGGAATGACGAACTTAATATACCCTCCATACTATTTATGGTGGAGGGTATAAAAAGTAGTGAAATAACTGACTGACAGATTGAGAATCAATGCCCAGATGAATCGGCTGAAGTAGGATCTTGAAATTTTGCACGAGGCCCAGCCTTGGTGCATAGGCATGCGATATGGCTGGGTGTTTGAAAATTCGTACGAAAATTACTCAAATGTACTAAGAATGTAACATTTTGGACAAATGGAATGCACCGATGGAGTGCAAGATAGATGTGTCAAAGAGTTTTTGGAAATTCGAACTCAAGTATATACTTCTTATACTTAAAATTTAGTAAGAGAATAAAAGTTGGGAAGTAAGTTTCATATATGATAGCAGTTGTGTGTACTAAGTGTGCGATTTATACTGAATGGTACTAAATTTGGAACAGTTTGGTTTAGGTTGAACGGATGAAGCTGGAATTTTGAAATTCTGTATTTGAGTCCCTGTTGGTAGTAAGTATTAGATAAAGAGGTGGTTTTGGAAATATGTACTACTAGCCCGCGAAAAGTGCTAAGTAGTACTATATTTGGTACAATTTCGTACTGGGTGAACAGATAGTGCTTGAAGGCTGAAATTTCGTATTGAGGTGGCTGTTCATGTGAAATCTGGATATTGAAGGTGGTTTCGGAGTTGTGTACTATAATTGTACGAAAAGTTCTAAATGGTACTAGATTTGGTATTGAGCGAAGGGATAGAACTGGAATCCTGAAATTGTATATGGATGTCACTGTTGGTGACCGTGGTTGAAAAAGTAGCTGGTTTTGGGTATGTGTACTATAATTGTACTAAGTGGTACTAAATTTGGTAATGGGGAAATAAAAATATTGGTTTGAAAATGCGTACTATTCTTTTAAATATAAAATAGTACTAAATTTGGGTGAAGGAATAGAGAACAAATTATGAAATTAAATGCAACTCTTGGTGTCTGCTGGCTTTGGAAATGTTTACTATAATTGTTCGAAAAGTGTAAAATGCTACTAAATTTTGTATTAGGTAAATATATAGAGCTAGAATCACGAAAATGATGTTGAGATCTATCTTGGTATCTGATGTTGAGATCTGGTAGTGGTTTTACAAATGCATACCATAATTTTTCGGAAAGTTATAAATAGTATTAAATTTGGATTAATCTTGGTGTCTTGAATGGAGTTAATTTAGACAGGTGGATATGCAAGAAAATGTTACTAAATTTCGTATTGAGTGAAGGGAGGTTACTTTTGTTTGAGTGAAAGGAGGTCATTGTTGGTTTCCAGGATTTACATATGGAAATGTTGAAATACTTTTGGGCAGAAAAGTTGGATGTGGTACCATTGTGCAATGGTTTTACTAATATTCTCCTCGGAAAAGTTAATAATATTCAGCTCCGTAAAGTTTGAAGATTTTTATGGTGAAAAATATAAATATTTTCTTATTATTCTTTCCGAAAAGGGGGAAAAATGAGGAAGGTCTGCAAATTTAATACAATATATGAAGATTTGATTAACAATTAAACTAAACAAATTGTGCATATTGAGCACTAGAAAGATCTAACATGAACTGTTGAAACTAATCTAAAATTTTAAGGTGGACTTTATGTTGACGAAGTAGCAGACATTTGCTGGTAAAGTATAAGGGTAAAAACTATATTTAAACGGGATCTTAGCAAGTCTAGTTGAATTCTACTATGGATCAAAGACGTCAAAATTCTAAATCTTTCCCAAATGCCAGAAATTAGTGAAAACACGGGTTACATTTTTGTGAGTTTATGCCAGAATCCCCTACAAATCATCGTTTTAGAAGAATGATGTCATAGACAAAAGTAGTTTTCATCGAATTTCACAATAAGTAACCAAAAACGGTCTCTATTTTTCATTATACGGATGAAATAAAAAACTGGAACAAAATCATTTCATAATTTTTCCATTTTTATAGCCTGAACTATAGTATGGAGGGTACATTAAGTTTGTCATTCCGTTTGTAACACCTCGAAATATAGGAAGAAATGAAGAAGGTAGATAAAATTTAACTTAAATGTGTATTATATCTGGAAGACTTTTGGTATTGAAAATGGTCCATGTAGGTCCACGTCTTCCTTTAGCCCCCATATAACGGTACCCCCGGTGTTCGGTATTTTGATGAGTTTAGCGACATTATTTACCTGAATTATTTCAAATTTTGTATTTGAAGTTCGTAATGGATACTACAGCCTATACCAGAAAATTGTCTGTGCAGGTCCACGTTTTATAACCCCCATGGTATCTCCCTATATTCGGAATTTTGATGATTTTAGCTACATTATAAATAGCTTATGACAAAAGTTGCCTATGCAGGGCCACGTCGTCGTATAGACCCTAGTATTTTTTAAATTTTAACAGAATTTTTAACGGATTTAATTTTTTTTAAATTGCCAAATTTGTACGAAATGGTGGAGGTTATTCAAAGTTACAGCTAATTTACTTGTTTTTTTATTGTAAATTTAGCACGTTTTTACTCTAGACCAACATTTCCCTTTATGCTTCATTTTTTTGAAGGAAGTGTCAAAGGAAATAGTATTATAGATGGAATTTCAATTTCGGACTCTGAATAAAAGAAATTTGTATATTCAATATGTACCATGGAAAAAATGTCATCATTATGGATTTATATAAATCTTTTTTCTTTTCTCTTAATTTAACACGTTTCTACTCTAGACCTAAATCTCCCTTTATACTTCGTTCTTTGGAGAAAGTTTCAAAGGAAGAATTATTCTAGATCGAATTCTCAACAAAAGACATCTATAGATTCAATATATATATGACAATATTTTACCAATATTGGTTTATAAAACAACTTTTTTTCCTAGTAATTTAAAACGTTACCATTTTTTACCAAAATCTCCCTATATACTTTTTTTAGGAGAAAGTGTCAAAGGGAGAATTATTCTAGATAGAATTTCATTGTCAGCCTCTGATGAAAAGAAATTTATATATTCAATATGTCATGTCGGTTTATAAAAATCAATTTTTTTGAACACATTTAGCAGTTGTTTCCAATGCAAAATTTCCCATAACTTCAATGTCCAATAGCCAATCAGGGTTGTGGAAATTTCTATTGGAAATCCTTATGGGCTTATATCTCCATGAGACGGTCCTGGTTCCATGTAAAAAGCTTGTATACAGTTGACAATAATTATAACCAATAACAATATTTACTATAATATTATCGATCATTATAAAAATTAATTAAAAGCCAAAGAAGCATTTCAACACTTGCATGTGTCGGAAAACTTTGGCACGGACTTTTTTCATGTTGCCGGAAAAGAAATATGTGTGGTATGTGGGTCAAGTACCTTGGCAAAGTCTCGCAGGTTTGGCCCATAAAATTGCTCCAATTAAAGTTTAAAGTCAATATGAAAAAGACGAAGAAGAACATGTGTGGTGATAAACACCTAAACCCGGTGCTGGACACAATGGGCGGTCGTCTTTGGATAATGAAAAACGATGATAGTAAAAGTCACACTAGGCAGGCGACAATAGATAAGTGTGGCAAGTTAATGAAGCGCATAAGCTTTCCGCTTTCAATGAGGAACTATAAAAACTAAACGGAATGGGAGTTACAGCAACAGTTATACTCAACTTGATTCGGAGTAAAGTTAGAAAAACAGGAAAAGACACAACAACAATGGTTAAGATTTTTGTGGTGACTTTGACGCTATGTCTTTTTGGAGTATTAATTCAGGAAGCCCAGGGAAGAGGTTGTTTGATACCCAAGACAAAACGAAATGAACGGAGCCCTCACGAGATGGAAACTAAGGATATAGCTGTAACACCACGTTTGGATGGACGCATTGTTGGTGGTCATAAAGTCAATATAACCGATGCTCCACATCAAATATCGCTGCAGACATCCTCACACATTTGTGGTGGTTCCCTGATTTCCAAGCAGTGGATTTTAACGGCAGCTCATTGTACCGAGTATGGAAGAAAATCTCTCTTCTGAAATTCAAAATTGTAATTTTCTCCTTCCCCTTTCAGAGGCCGCACCCCAGATCGCCTAAAGGTACGCGTTGGCAGCTCCGAATACTCCAAGGGTGGCGAGTTAATTGATGTCATGGAAATTGTCCAACATGAAAAATTCAATTACTCCAATGTGGATTATGATTATTCCCTACTCAAATTGGCCAAGGAAATTGAATTTGATGACACCAAGCAGGCTGTGAAATTGCCGGAAACCAAAGATGTTGCCATGGACGGTACCATGTGTTTCGTTACCGGTTGGGGTAATACCCAAAATGCCACCGAATCTCGTGAATGGTTGCGTCTGGCTGAAGTTCCCATTTTCAATCAGGAACAATGTTCAGATAAATATAGGAAATTTGGTGGTGTCACCGATCGCATGATCTGTGCCGGTTACATTGAGGGTGGTAAGGATGCCTGCCAGGGAGATTCCGGTGGTCCTTTGGTAACCGAGGAGGGTGTTCTGGTTGGTGTGGTTTCATGGGGTTATGGTTGTGCCCGTCCCGATTTTCCCGGCATCTATTCGAGAGTTTCATATGTTCGTGATTGGATTCGTACGAATACTGGTGTTTAGAGGAGAGTGGAAAATTTTGGAATAAAAAATTATAATTGAAATGAAATTTGTGTGACTTTTTATACTTCTTTTATGGGGAAAAGGGTCTTTTCCGTTGAGGAGGGTGTAAAAAAGAGAAAACACGTCTATAGAGGTAATTTCCTCGTCTTCCATATTTATACCCTACAGGATATTATGTCTTTGTGCATTTGTTTGTAACATGAGGAAGGAAACGAGATAGACCAATAGTAACTTTTGAGGATCTTCATAGAATCACTTTCTGAGTCGATTTGTCTATGTCAGTCCGTCTGTCCATGTATTTAGTGAACGATATGCAGGTCGCATTTTTAATCCGATTGATGCGACATCTTCCAAACAATATTTGTTTGGTCAAAGGACGAACCCTATTGAAATTGTTGAGAATTGGTTAAAATTTAACCGATTTTGGGGTAAACTGTGCACCAAATGGCCAATATCAGCCTAAATTACCCGAATTTCGGGACATCCGACCGAATTCAGTCTAGAAACAATTCACAGTGCAATAATGTAACTTGACGGAGTAAAACGCTACGCTAGCTTTAAGTTAATTATAAAAATTCATTTTAGTATTTATAAACATGCCTATTTCCCTGAAGATTAAATTTATTGAATTTCGAAATATTGGAGTATTAAAATAAAATATTAAAAAATATTTTTTCCAAGGACCAATGAACGTGGATTTTTTAAAGAATATTTTTTCCAAGGACCAATAAACGTGGATTTTTTAAAGAATATTTTTTCCAAGGACCAATGAACGTGGATTTTTTAAAAAAATATTTTTTCCAAGGACCAATGAACGTGGATTTTTTAAAGATTTTTTTTTCCAAGAACCAATGAACGTGGATTTTTTAAAGAATATTTTTTCCAAGGACCAATGAACGTGGATTTTTTAAAGAATATTTTTTCCAAGGACTAATGAACGTGGATTTTTTAAAGAATATTTTTTCCAAGGACTAATGAACGTGGATTTTTTAAAGAATATTTTTTCCAAGGACTAATGAACGTTGATTTTTTAAAGAATATTTTTTCCAAAGACCGATCAACGTGGATTTTTTAAAGAATATTTTTTCCAAGGACTAATGAACGTGGATTTTTTAAAGAATATTTTTTCCAAGGACTAATGAACGTGGATTTTTTAAAGAATATTTTTTCCAAGGACTAATGAACGTGGATTTTTTAAAGAATATTTTTTCCAAGGACCAATCAACGTGGATTTTTTAAAGAATATTTTTTCCAAAGACCAATCAACGTGGACTTTTTAAAGAATATTTTTTTCCAAAGACCAATCAACGTGGATTTTTTAAAGAATATTTTTTTCCAAGGACTAATGAACGTGGATTTTTTAAAGAATATTTTTTCCAAGGACTAATGAACGTGGATTTTTTAAAGAATATTTTTTCCAAGGACAAATGAACGTGGATTTTTTAAAGAATATTTTTTCCAAGGAGCAATGAACGTGGATTTTTTAAAGAATATTTTTTCCAAGGACTAATGAACGTGGATTTTTTAAAGAATATTTTTTCCAAGGACTAATGAACGTGGATTTTTTAAAGAATATTTTTTCCAAGGACTAATGAACGTTGATTTTTTAAAGAATATTTTTTCCAAGGACTAATGAACGTTGATTTTTTAAAGAATATTTTTTCCAAAGACCGATCAACGTGGATTTTTTAAAGAATATTTTTTCCAAGGACTAATGAACGTGGATTTTTTAAAGAATATTTTTTCCAAGGACTAATGAACGTGGATTTTTTAAAGAATATTTTTTCCAAGGACTAATGAACGTGGATTTTTTAAAGAATATTTTTTCCAAGGACTAATGAACGTTGATTTTTTAAAGAATATTTTTTCCAAGGACTAATGAACGTTGATTTTTTAAAGAATATTTTTTCCAAAGACCGATCAACGTGGATTTTTTAAAGAATATTTTTTCCAAGGACTAATGAACGTGGATTTTTTAAAGAACATTTTTTCCAAGGACTAATGAACGTGGATTTTTTAAAGAATATTTTTTCCAAGGACTAATGAACGTGGATTTTTTAAAGAATATTTTTTCCAAGGACTAATGAACGTGAATTTTTTAAAGAAATATTTTTTCTAAGGACTAATGAACGTGGATTTTTTAAAGAATATTTTTTCCAAGGACTAATGAACGTGGATTTTTTAAAGAATATTTTTTCCAAGGACTAATGAACGTGGATTTTTTAAAGAATATTTTTTCCAAGGACTAATGAACGTGGATTTTTTAAAGAATATTTTTTCCAAGGACTAATGAACGTGGATTTTTTAAAGAATATTTTTTCCAAGGACTAATGAACGTGGATTTTTTAAAGAATATTTTTTCCAAGGACTAATGAACGTGGATTTTTTAAAGAATATTTTTTCCAAGGACTAATGAACGTGGATTTTTTAAAGAATATTTTTTCCAAGGACTAATGAACGTGGATTTTTTAAAGAATATTTTTTCCAAGGACTAATGAACGTGGATTTTTTAAAGAATATTTTTTCCAAGGACTAATGAACGTGGATTTTTTAAAGAATATTTTTTCCAAGGACTAATGAACGTGGATTTTTTAAAGAATATTTTTTCCAAGGACTAATGAACGTGGATTTTTTAAAGAATATTTTTTCCAAGGACTAATGAACGTGGATTTTTTAAAGAATATTTTTTCCAAGGACTAATGAACGTGGATTTTTTAAAGAATATTTTTTCCAAGGACTAATGAACGTGGATTTTTTAAAGAATATTTTTTCCAAGGACTAATGAACGTGGATTTTTTAAAGAATATTTTTTCCAAGGACTAATGAACGTGGATTTTTTAAAGAATATTTTTTCCAAGGACCAATGAATATTTTCCAAGGACTAATGAACGTGGATTTTTTAAAGAATATTTTTTCCAAGGACAAATGGACGTGGATTTTTTTAAAGAATATTTTTTCCAAGGACCAATGGACGTGGATTTTTTTAAAAATGTTTTTTCCAATGACCAATCAACGTGGACTTTTAAACAATATTTTTTCCAAGGATCAATGAACGTTGATTTTTTAAAGAATATTTTTTCCAAAGACCAATCAACGTGGATTTTTTAAAGAATATTTTTTCCAAGGACTAATGAACGTGGATTTTTTAAAGAATATTTTTTCCAAGGACTAATGAACGTGGATTTTTTAAAGAATATTTTTTCCAAGGACTAATGAACGTGGATTTTTTAAAGAATATTTTTTCTAAGGACAAATGAACGTGGATTTTTTAAAGAACATTTTTTCCAAGGACTAATGAACGTGGATTTTTTAAAGAATATTTTTTTCAAGGACTAATGAACGTGGATTTTTTAAAGAATATTTTTTCCAAGAACTAATGAACGTGGATTTTTTAAAGAATATTTTTTCTAAGGACTAATGAACGTGGATTTTTTAAAGAATATTTTTTCCAAGGACTAATGAACGTGGATTTTTTAAAGAATATTTTTTTCAAGGACTAATGAACGTGGATTTTTTAAAGAATATTTTTTCCAAAGACCAATCAACGTGGATTTTTTAAAGAATATTTTTTCCAAGGACTAATGAACGTGGATTTTTTTAAAGAATATTTTTTCCAAGGACTAATGAACGTGGATTTTTTAAAGAATATTTTTTTCAAGGACTAATGAACGTGGATTTTTTAAAGAATATTTTTTCCAAGGACCAATGAAAGTGGATTTTTTAAAGAATATTTTTTCCAAGGACCAATGAAAGTGGATTTTTTAAAAAATATTTTTTCCAAGAACCAATGAACGTGGATTTTTAAAAAAATATTTTTTCCAAGAACCAATAAACGTGGATTTTTTAAAGAATATTTTTTCCAAGGACCAATGAACGTATGAATGTTTGATCTACTTCAAATAAATTATTTTGTTACGGAACTCTATTAAATATGCATATTGGTGCAGGATATCATATAGTCGACCTCATCCGCCTTTAGACTTTTCCTAACTGGTTTAAGATTTTCAATGATTCTTGAATCACTCACAGATTTTTATGGACTTTCAGAGTATCTGCTTAAATATATCGATCCATGGAATACCTGTAGAGTCCTCTTTATTCCAAGTTCCCACATTATTATACCACACTTTCTGCGTTGCCAATAGAAAACGTTGACCCGCATTAATTCAATATTTGCAATAAATTATTGACATAATAATTAGCGGCATTATTATTTTTTCTTAAATTTGTTGCAATGAGTGGTGTGCCAATTTTTCGAAAAATATGTTTTTTCCGAATTTAGCACCTGATAAAACCTGGTATATAAATACTCATTGCAAATGGTAGTTCAAATACCATTCGCGTTAATTGTGCTATGAAAAAGGTTGTAAATTAGAAAAAAATTAAGAAAAAATGTTGGAATTCAAAACGTTTATGCGGCTATTGCTATTGCTCTGGGTCTTATTGGTGGTTGAGGGAAGATTCCTTGATTCCTCTGGAGAACTTATTACCGTAAAGGGGCAGGAGTTTCCCATTAAACCACGGCCAGATGGTCGCATTGTTGGTGGCCAGCGAATAAATATTACCGAGGCTCCATATCAAATATCGCTGCAAACCAGGTCAATGCACATTTGTGGGGGGTCGATTATATCCAAGGAATGGATTCTAACGGCGGCCCATTGTACCTAGTAAGTAAAACTCAGGATATAAAATTAGAAAATAAAATCTTGAAATAATAAATTTCTTGGTTTCAGTGGTCGAATGGCTTCCGAGCTCAAAGTTCGTTTGGGCAGTGCAAACACAAGTGATGGGGGCGTTCTTATTGACGTTGTCGAACTGGTGCAACATGAAAAATTCAATATTCGAAATGTGGACTACGACTATTCTTTGATAAAATTATCCCAAGAAATTGAATTGGACGATACCAAAGAAATTGTGGAATTGCCAAAATTAAAGGAGGATTTCATAGATGGCACAATGTGTCTGGTAACCGGTTGGGGTCATACCAAAAATAAGACCGATTCGGAAGAAGTGCTGCGTCAAACTAAGGTCCCGATATTTAATCAAAAGGAATGTTCCCGAAGATATGGTCTATTTGGTGGTGTCACAGAACGCATGCTCTGTGCCGGCTATGCTGAGGGTGGCAAGGATGCATGCCAGGGTGATTCCGGAGGTCCTTTGGTCACCGAGGATGGTGTTTTAATCGGTGTTGTCTCCTGGGGTTATGGTTGTGCCCGCCCTAATTTTCCGGGTATTTATTCGAGGGTATCATATGTACGTGATTGGATAACAGAACATGCTAAAGTCTAAAGGGGGACTGATGGTGGGGGTGAATTGATATCTAAACAAGTAGTAAAATGTGTGCCTCAACAAAAAAATATTTGTTTAATTTTTTTTGGTGAAAATTTAGTGACTTTGTTTGGGGTCTTAGCCTAATAATTGCGGATTAATTTTTTTTTCAAGAACTCGCAGTTCAGGTATATTGAATTTTTAAAAATATTCTCTGATTAATAATCCTGTTTTTAAACGATTTTCAAGGGTTCTGTGCCTAAAAATCGAGGATTTTCCTAGATAAAATGTTACTCAAATGTATATTATGTCTGCAGTACTTTTGGTATAGAAAATGGGCCGATACCTCCCGACATTCGGCATTTTTATGATTTTAGCGACATTATTCACCAGAATTGTTTCAAATTTGGTATTTGAAATTCGAAATGGATACTACAGCCTAGAACAGAAAACTGTGCAGGTCCACAGAATTTTTAACGGATTTTACTATTTTTGAGAATTGCCAAATTCGTTCCAAATTGTGGAGGGTATTCAAAGTTCGGCCCAGCCGAACTTACAGCTTTTTTACTTGTTTTAATTTTATTAAGGACTCTCAGCCCCTCTCGTGAGGGGCATTATATAATTGTGAGACATTTTCAGCCAAAAAACCTGTTTTTTAATTTTTTTAAAGATGGCTGTCAAACAATGGCTCTCAGAGATACGCTCTCAGACAATGGTTCTCAGATTATTAATAGTGGAAATTTCAAAGATTTTTCTAAGGACATTCGGATTACTCATCAGGATCTTTAAGGCTATTTTGAAGGACAGAGACTATAAATCTTGGATTTATTTAAGATACTTCACGAACTCTAAATCATCTTGTGTTCGAATGAAATGTGTTAATGAATCTCATCCCGATAAATGTAAATCTTTAAAAGGATTTTTTCCAAGGACTCTCCTTCTAATGGTCGTGGTATATTTGCCAAGACTCTCCACGAATTTTAAACGATTTTATTCAAGGCCTCTGAGCTCAACGATGATTTTTGTTTTAAATCTTATTTTAAGGACTCTTCCCCTATTAACTGAAGGCTGTAATAGTGGAATTTTAAAATACTTTTTTGAAGGACTCAGCCTAATAATCGTGGATTTTTTAAAGCTTTGTTCAAGGACTCTTCTACAAATAATAGTGGTATATTTTCCAAGGCTAAAATCATGAAGTTTAATTTTTTTCATGAACTCTGGGCCCAATAATCTTAGATTTTTTAAGATTTTTTCAAGGACTTTTAGCCTGATAGTAGTATAATTTTTTAGGAATTTTTTCCAGGATTCTCATACTATTATCGTCGAGTTTTTATGACTGTTTCCTAGTATTTTGAAGATTTTTTTCCAGAAACCTTATCCCAATAATCGTGGATTTTCAAAAGGTTTTTTTCAAGAACTCTCCCACTTATACTCGCGGTATATTTTCTAAGGTTATATTCAAGGGTTTCTTTTCAGGGACTCTGAGCCGAATAATTGTAGATTTTTTAAGAACTCTTTGCCAAAAAATTAAAAAGAGTATTTTTTCAAGGATCGACAGAAACATGGAAGATTTTTCTTTCCACGTTGAATGAAAGTTGGATTTTTAACCAATATTTTTTCAAGAAACTAAATTTTTTAAAGAATATTTTATTAAGATTAAAAAAAACTGGATTTTTTAAAGACTCTTTTTTCAAGGCTCAACAGAAACGTGGATTTTCAAGGAATATTTTTTCCAATTTTTTAAATAATATTTTTTCCATATGAACGTGGATTTTTTAAAGAATATTTTTCCCAAGGACCAATGAACGAGGACTTTCTAAAGAATATTTTTCCAAGGACCAATGAACGTGGTTTCTTTAAAAGAATGTTTTTTCCAAGGATTAAAAATGTGGATTTTTTAAGAATATTTTTTCCAGGGACAAATGATTTTTTATAGAATATTTTTGCAAGGTTAGACAGAAACGTGGATTTTTTAAATAATATTTTTTCCAAGGACCAATGAACGTGGATTTTTTAAAGAATATTTTTTTCCAAGGACCAATGAACGTGGATTTTTTAAAGAATATTTTTTCCAAGGACCAATGAACGTGGATTTTTTAAAGGATATTTTTTCCAAGGACCAATGAACGTGGATTTTTTAAAGAATATTTTTTCAAGGACTAATGAACGTGGATTTTTTAAAGAATATTTTTTCCAAGGACCAATGAACGTGGATTTTTTAAAGAATATTTTTTCCAAGGACCAATGAACGTTGGTTTTTTTAAGAATATTTTTCCAAGGACCAATGAACGTTGATTTTTTAAAGAATATTTTTTCCAAGGACCAATGAACGTGGATTTTTTAAAGAATATTTTTTCCAAGGACCAATGAACGTGGATTTTTTAAAGAATATTTTTTCCAAGGACTAATGAACGTGGTTTTTTTAAGAATATTTTTCCAAGGACCAATAAACGTTGATTTTTTAAAGAATATTTTTTCCCAGGACCAATGAACGTGGATTTTTTAAAGAATATTTTTTCCAATGACCAATGAACGTTGATTTTTAGAAGAATATTTTTTCCAATGACCAATGAACGTGGATTTTTAGAAGAATATTTTTTCCAAGGACCAATAAACGTGGGTTTTTTAAAAGATTTTTTTTTCAGGGACCATTGAACGTGAGTTTTTTAAAGAATATTTTTTCCAAGGGTCAACAGAAACGTGAATTTTTTAAAGAATATTTTTTCCAAGGACCTATGAACGTGGATCTTTTTAATAAATATTTTTTCCAAGGACCAATAAACTTGGATTTTTTAAAGAATATTTGTTTTCCAAGGACCCATAGACGTGTTTTTTAAAGAATATTTGTTTTCCAAGGACCCATAGACGTGTTTTTTAAAGAATATTTTTTTCCAAAGACCAATAAACTTGGATTTTTTAAAGAATATTTTTCCAAGGGCCCATAGACGTGGTTTTTTTAAAGAATATTTTTTTCCAAGGACCCATAAACGTGGTTTTTTTTAAAGAATATTTTCTTCCAAGGACCCATAGACGTGGTTTGTTTAAAGAATATTTTCTTCCAAGGACCCATAGACGTGTTTTTTTTAAAGAATATTTTCTTCCAAGGACCCATAGACGTGTTTTTTTTAAAGAATATTTTCTTCCAAGGACCCATAGTTTAAAGAATATTTTCTTCCAAGGACCCATAGACGTGTTTTTTTTTAAAGAATATTTTCTTCCAAGGACCCATAGACGTGTTTTTTTTAAAGAATATTTTCTTCCAAGGACCCATAGTTTAAAGAATATTTTCTTCCAAGGACCCATAGACGTGGTTTTTTTAAAGAATATTTTCTTCCAAGGACCCATAGACGTGTTTTTTTAAAGAATATTTTCTTCCAAGAACCCATAGTTTAAAGAATATTTTCTTCCAAGGACCCATAGACGTGGTTTTTTTAAAGAATATTTTCTTCCAAGGACCCATAGACGTGGTTTTTTTAAAGAATATTTTCTTCCAAGGACCCATAGACGTGGTTTTTTTAAAGAATATGTTTTAAAGTACAATCGAACTTGGATTTTTTAAGTAATATTTTCATTTCTTCTCTTTTCACGATGTTACCCCAAAGAATTTGTGGTCCTTGAGGGGTTATTTAAATGTGCGTTGTGATCTTTGCAGGATTCTTTAACACCTGCATACGTGCATATGTATGCCACCGCATTAATGACGTAAATATGAAGTCCTGTTGTAACCGTTGTTTTTTTAAGGCGTCTCGGAAGTTTCGACACACACACACATACTTGCATACAAAAATGATAATTGTTCTCACTTGTGTTCGTTCATTGAATGTTTGTTAAAATGCGCACCAGTTGCAAGGTCACATTGCAAATGTCAAAGTCAAGAGCGTACTTTTATGTGAAAAGTTTTGAGTTTTCTTTTTAATTCGAAGTATCAAAGAAAGGGAAATAATCCATGATATTGTGAAAACGTATGTTTTTGCTAAATTGACGCAATTGCAAGACAATAAGAAATAAAAAAAAAAAAATAAAAATAAAACGATATGGAATGCATTTTTTACAAAACTTATGAGAATATGTGTCAAAGATAGTTGGGCCCTGAAAAAATTATTGAGATTAGGAAAATAAAATGAAGGGACTCCTATAACCATTTAAATGAGAAGCAATTGAAAACCTAAATGTTTATTGAAGATATTTTGGGTCCCAAATATTGACATATTTGTTTTTCCGTGGTATTGAGACCAGTAGGAAAAGTCAAAAGTCGGGCAGGGTCGACTATATGATACCCTACACCACTATGCATATTTAGTAGAGCTCTCATAGCAAAAAAAAAAAACGTTTTTTTTTTTTATTAGTGGAGAACGATGGTAATGTTTACCAGGGGGTAAGGCAGGGAATACCTAGGCTTCGGAAGGAGCCACCAATCCTCATCAGTTCCCTTGTTTTTTGTCTGGGATATTCTCCCCAGAAGTTATTTTAAAAATAACTTCTATGACAAAAAACATTTTTTACCCAAGTGACGAGATCGTAAGCTCAATAGAAGAGGAACCAAAGAATTAAATAAAACTAAAATTCTTTTGGAAAATCTTCTAAATCTTACAACTGCACTTATAAACATTTACATCTTTCTCCACTTGTTATGCTTTCGTTCAACCTGAACGAAGTAACATATAAGTTGGTTTTGTCTGTTACAACAAAAACCCCTTCGTCGACCGTGCCAGGCAAAATCCCATTATTGTTGTTTTTATAAAAACAACGTTTTTTTTTATTAGTGGAGAACGATGGTAATGTTTACCAGGGGGTAAGGCAGGGAATACCTAGGTTTCGGAAAGAGCCACCAATCCTCATCACCTAGGCATTCCCTGCCTTACCCCCTGGTAAACATTATCATCGTTCTCCACTAATAAAAAAAAACGTTGTTTTTATAAAAACAACAATAAAGGGATAAAGTCTGACCATTTTGCAACAACAAAATACTACGGTATTCCGAACAAACAGGCCACACTGTTCCAAAAAAAAAATATATATACATATTTTAAGTAGATCATACAACCTATCAACCGTTGGCTTTAGAGCAGTTATAATTTGG